TTTTTTTTTGGTAAATTAAATTTCATTTATTCAACGAAAATGAAGGCCTATCCTGTGTTATTTATTAAAAACTTATAATTTAAGTCGGAATAAAGTTAGGTTACATTGTCAAAAAATTTGTGCAGTCAACTGATTTTGTATTTGTATTGAATTCTTTATTCACTTAATTATTAAATATTAAGCATCGTCCATCGACCCATCAATGTTAAAAACTGAAAGATTCCAGAAGAAAGTTTTTATTTTGTAATTCCACGATAGTGACAGTGTAATTTTTATAAAGAAGTAAAAATAAGAATAGCGCGCCGATTACAATAAAAACGAGGTTCTTATTTCTTATTTTGCTTAATTTTTTTAGTTTGTGCACAAACTAGTTTTACAATGAACCGAGAAAACAATACATTTACTATTTCTGAACGTGTCGATATGGTGTTAGTGTATGGTGCAGCCGGAGAAAATGCGCTCGCGGTGACTAGGTTGTACCGGAAACGATGGCCACAACGTCACCCCCCATGTGCAAATAAAATCCTACAGTGCGTTCAGCACTGTGAGATACGGGAAGCGTTATTCCTTGAGGAGAAGGACGTGGTCAGCAAGTGAACCTTAATGTTGAAGATGCAGTGTTGTGCCTGCATGCCTGTAGCCGCGCTAATGGGGATCAATTTCAACATTTTCTCTAGAAATGGTAAGATTTATTTCATTTTGTTCTATATTTTAATAGCTTACGGATGTGGTTTTGTTTGCGTACTCTTGCAGTAACAACAATGCATTTAAGATCGTAATTACTATTAATTATTATAATAAGAAAATATCAGTTTTTTTTAAATATCTATTTTTCTTAGTTTGTACTTTTGCATTGAAAAATTCCCCAAAAATTGAGAAGTATCTTTCTATCTTTCAACGACTATTTGTTTACGCGGCTGGTCTAAAGCACGTAACTCATCGTACAGCACACGGACAGAACCGTTCCAGATAAAAATTTTGTTCCATAATTGAACTTTAATTTACGAAAAAAAAAACGCAATAGAACTTTTTTGTATAAGACTTTTCTATTACAAATATCGTTAGGAAGCTGTAGTTTTATTTTTATAGATTATACACGCCACACCCTGTATAAGTATTTTTGTTTTGTTGTCATTTTGTCACTTATTTATGTAAAGTACCATAACTCGGGAACCATGGAGAATTGACCCCATGTATATTATAACTTTTTTTCTAAGTATGACCTCAGGAACTTGTTCCTTAATTTCGTTGCAATACATTATGCAACAGCCTGTATATTTTTGGAGAAACATGTGTCGAAAGTCAACGTTGGCTGAGGAAGAGAGATTAAGATTGGTTATCGGAGCAGTAACTTCCATCTAGTCTAGACTTATCCCCATTTAACTGTCATTTAAACATAAATCGAGAATGGGTTACAGTTCTGTAATTATAGAGAATTAGAATTATAGAAAATTTCGTGCTTTTATTTTTCTATAAAAATTTCCTTAAATGAACGATTTCTTACACATAATTTACGTACCCTAATTCGTTCTGGATCTGTTATACATAAATATTCTATGTACTTAATCTGTTAGATATACTCACGATAAGCCATTCACCAGATTTATCTCCGCCGTCTAAGACAGATCCCAAAAAATTTCCATTTCTGGAGTTTGCACTACCTAGAATAAATTACAAATAATGATCTTCCACAATAATTAAATCTTCATTAACCAGAGTGCCCACATAATTTCATAACCAGATTCTACGTTCCAAAATAAGAAAATACGTTCTAATTAACTCCAACAAGAATACCTCTGTTTTCTTTTTAATTTAAAATTTTTAAAATTGCCGCAAAAATATGGGGTAGCTTTTACTTATACTTCGTCAGTTTTGACCTAATATCCAAATCAACTTTTACAGGGTGATTAATTAACAATGGGAAAATCGAAAGCTGAATATACTACACGTGAAATGGTGACCACTGGCGCAAACATGCCTTATCCAAAAGTTGATAGTTTCGGAAATACAGGGTGTTGAAAGTTAAAATTTTAAATCGTTTTTTTGCGATTATTCTGAAAATATGTAGGTTAGGAACTTGAAAATTTGTGAAACTATTTTTTTTAGGCGACGAATAAGATGCGTGTTGTAATTTCAGCATTGCTCATAGAGGGCGCCACTTACGACCAATTTTACCGAAAATTTAGTTAATAACTTTTTACCCTGTATATTTAACATGAAACTTGATTCAAAACCTGAAAGAGCTATCATTTTTCCATTAATTATGTACTCTTGTTTCATTTCGGTATCTCGATCCGTTTTCGAGAAAAATCGATTTAACGAACACTATGTTTTGATAATATGAGAAATTAAAAGCGAAACAAACCAAGTGTTTCTTCGTGTTATTACAACAATTAACAATAAAACAAATAAAATACGTAATTATGATTTAAAGTAATTGTTCGAAGAATCCACCGTTGACACTGATACACTTTACACGTTTTCTGAGAGATCTTCGAGTTTGAAACAACATATTGGGATTGCGTCTGACTTCGTTGGCAGCGATTTGTATTCTTTGCCACAACTCTTCACACGAGCCAATAGATTCTTTGTAAACTATATCTTTCATTCGAGACCAAATAGAAAAATCAAGAGGATTGAAGTCCGGACTTCTGGATGGCCAAGCAAAAATGCTTACATGGCCAATCCAGCGATTTGGAAAAACTGCATCTAAATATGCACGCACTGGCCAAGAAAAATGCGGTGGAGCTCCGTCGTGCATGAACCACATGTCTCTTCTTAAATAAAGTGGAACTTCTTCAAGCCGTGGAAGCATTTTTACTTGGCCACCCAGAAGTCCGGACTTCAATCCTCTTCATTTTTCTATTTGGAAGAATCTATTGGTTCGTGTGAAGAGTTGTGGCAAAGAATACAAATCGCTGCCAACGAAGTCAAACGCAATCCCAATATGTTGTTTCAAACTCGAAGATCTCTCAGAAAACGTTGTGTAAAGTGTGTAAATGTCAACGGTGGATTCTTCGAACACTGACTTTAAATCATTATTACGAATTTCATTTGTTTTATTGTTAATTGTTGTAATAACACGAAGAAACACTTGGTTTGTTTCGCTTTTAATTTCTCGTATTATCAAAACATAGTGTTCGTTAAATCGATTTTTCTCGAAAACGGATCGAGATACCGAAATGAAACAAGAATACATAATTAATGGAAAAATGATTGCTCTTTCAGGTTTTGAATCAAGTTTCATGTTAGACATACAGGGTAAAAAGTTATTAACTAAATTTTTAGTAAAATTGGCCGTAAGTTGCGGCCTCTAGGAGCAATGCTAAAATTACAACACGCATCTTATTCGTCGTCTAAAAAATATAGTTTCACAAATTTTCAAGTTCCTAACCTACATATTTTCAGAATAATCGCAATAAAACGATTTAAAATTTTAACTTTCAACACCCTGTATTTTCGAAACTATTAACTTTCAGATAAGACATGTTTGCGCCAATGGTCACCATTTCACGTGTAGTATCTTCAGCTTCCGACTTTCCCATTGTTAATAAATGACCCTGTATAATAATTTTCTGCCCATCTAGCTGAGAATAAAATACTTAGCAGATTTCTAAAATTTCATTTATTCCTACATGTTTCGGATATATTGAATAAAGACCCTCCTCAGAGCCGTGCCTTCAAGGGATGTAACTCCCTTAGGAGGCATTATTTATTTGAGCTATTTTTGTTATGTTTGAAAATTCAGTTTGGCTGGTATAATTATGGGACACAGTGTATAAAAAGCAACATGTTAAACTTTAAGAAGTAATTTACCTTCTTAAGATTTACAAAAAAACAAGACATTTTTTCTAAAACCATTTTTAAGAAATAGTGGAACCAAACTTTAAGATGGGATGTAAAATATAGCTTTTAATGAATAACTTAAGAATAGTTGAAATACAGACTTTTAACATGGTACAGTGTAGTTTCCTCACAGAAATTACATATAAGTAAAATTTCTACAAAATTAATTTAGCAGCTTTGGAATTAGTAGGTATTCGAGAAGTTTAAAAAAACTGTCCAACAGGGGAGAAAATGTTGTTTTGTAGACGTTTACCATTACTAGCCAAAACTTCCGTGTAAGGCCAGTATTATGAGCATCTTCAGTAGCACATATCAGTGCAATTGAAAGATTGATAACTATCGTGAGAAATTGCATTGCATCAAATTTGAAGTTTCTGTCATCAATTGCGTTAGTAATTTATTAAAAACCATATTCTATATCCTATATTATTGCTATAATCTGCAATTAGTTTTATTTTATCTTTGTTTAGTTAAATAAATCGTCATCTCAAATTTCATTAATCTACTTCAAATATCTTTAGGAATATTGTAGATATGATGTTTTTCAATTAACACTCGAAGCATGTTGAAAATGAATTTATGACATATCCACATAGAAACCTATTGCTTCAAAATGATCTAACGAATTACACTCTTATTGTCTGAAATTACCTTGAATAAAACTTACTTGCAGTAAAACTGTGTTTGAGACATGACCCTTGTTTGACACAGGAGTACACAGATCCACCAGTAGTACTGGAGCCTTGCCCTGGTGCCCCAACTATTATCCTATAAAAAATGTGTTGTAAATTAATGATTTTTTTTTATTTTTCGGAAAAAACTGGAGAATTGTTTTCTAAATGCTACTATGTTCTATAAACGAACAACTATGTTTATGGCAAGAAGCAACCTATTTCTCAACACTGTAACACTGATTATATTTTTAATTGTAGAAACAAAAATAACACACAAAAAAAAATTGTCTGTAGTTTTCAAGCGACATATGTTATCTGTAGTATTTTTACCACCTGATCACGAATCCGATGTTAGAATTGAGCTATCACATCATAGGAATTTCCTAACCTCTAAAAACAGGTCAAAAATAGCAAAAATTCACGAAAAAGTGCAAGGGAAAGTATACAAAAATTTGTTTGAGGTCGCTGATTACGGTCCGAGATCAATTCTGCAAAATTCAAGATGGCGAATTCAAAATTATTCACCAACTTTTAAAAAAATAACACATTCGCGCCAAATTTGGTTGGGGTTTTTGAGGTCACTGATCACGATTCCGAGATCAGATTTATAAAATTCGTTCACTATTAAAAAAAGAAGGCAAAACATGATTGGGTACTGAGGTTATAAAGTAAACAGGTATACATATTTCAAAATGAATTTCGCAATACTGACCTCGAATTCATGATCATACAGTTCGTGACTCGGTCGGATGATCATAACCGTCACGTCGGCCTTTCGCTACAGCGCATCGTAAGAAACCGGTAATAAGGCAGTTATTGGCTTCGCGTTTGCTTCGTGTATACGTGTTTTAATATTCTAATAATATCGAACGTGCTAAGAGGTAGAGAAAACGATCTTTCGCTGAAAAAGTACGACAATTTATTTATTTATAATTTATACCTACCTACCTGTTTATTTATTCGTTTACAGTGAACACACCTATGACTAACCGACGAAAACCCCGAATTCTTGTGATCAGCGACCATAAAAACCCCCGTATACCAAATTTGGCGCGGATGTGTCATTTTTTGAAAATTTGGTCGGCCATTTTGGATCTGTAATCTTGAATTTTGCAAAATTGACCTCCGATCCGTGATTAGCGACCCCGAAAACTCCCGCACACCAAATTTAGCGCAAATGTGTTATTTTTTGAAAATATAAATATGGTTGGCCGTTTTGCGTCCGTCAGCTTGAATTTTGCAAAATTTACCTCGGATCCGTGATCAGCGACTCCGAAAACCTCCGTATACCAAATTTGGCGCGAATCTGTTATTTCTTGAAAATTTGTGATATCTGACCCGTTTTTTTAAGGTTAGAAAACGATCTATCAATTCTGACCTCGGATTCACGTTCGGCGGGGTCTTAACCATATAAATGAACATTTGAATATAGAAAAAAAAATTTATTTTTTTCTAGCACTGTTTCGTAAATTTTTGATATTTTTGATCTGTTTTTTGAGGTTAGGAAATTCTTGTCAAGAGGCAAAAATACTACGGATAACATATGTCGCATGAAAAGTACAGAGTACAGTGTCCTACAATAAAGTACAACTTTTTTTGTTTTTTGGACTGGAACGAATGGTCTAGCAAATTTCAATTGTATTAAATCATTATACCAATAAGTTTTTATGTTAAAATAAGTAAGAAAAATATTAAAATTATGAAGGCGTCCTTTTCTAAAATTTGGAACCTATTTTGTCAAAAACAATTATCTTAATATTAAAAACCTGAATTTGGTTAGACACTTTATAATACCTACAATCAGTGGCGGCTGGTGCGGGGAGGTTCTGGGGGTCACCTCTCCCCACTCCCTCCAGGAATTTTCATAGTAAAAAATGTAATTTACAATTTAGTTTACTATGTCGTCTAGATAAAAATAGATTGGTCTTATGAAACACGAAAAAAGAAATGTTTTTGTAATGCGTAGTTAGTTTAACTGGACTTGCAAAATTCATTTGAAAAACACTGAATACGGGGGCTCCTCGTAGCTCCCCCCTAAATCCGTAAAGTATTTACAGGGATGGCCATGGTTACCGTAACGGAGCAGTGAAAGACAGAGTGAGAGTAAGTGATGCATATTTACTATGAGTTTTCTGGGTTCTGCTTAGTCTGCCTGTAACCAAATAATAGCTATTCACCGCTTTCTTTTCTTATTAAACGTAATTTGTTTACGTGTAGTTTAAAATTTTGTTACATACGTATTGTTTCTTGTGTGTTTTTTAAAAGATTGTAAATGTTTATATTATATTATAAAGACAGATTAACAGCACTTCCAATGTTATATATGTATTGAAAAATCAATGGTGCGAGAAATACCAAACTTTAAAAAAGTGCTAATTGAAAAGCATATTTCGGACAAAAGCAGAAGAATGGACTCTCACTATAAAAAATAATGTTAATAATTTCGATAGTACCTACTTAAAATAAAACTACCCAATTATATTAGATTTTTTTGTTCAATACTTTGTACCTAAATATTTCCGCTCACCTTGGTATGGAAGTCAACAACCGCCACTGCCTATAATACGAATAACCTTTTCCGGTAAAACCAAAACAAATATCAATATGAGTATCTTTAAACATCTGTAATCGGTTGCCAGATTGTTTACCTGTTATAAATAGGCACTTATTTTCTTTTCCTATTACAAATTTTATCTCCTATACTCTCAAGTGGGAAATCCGTGATTTAATTATTTCAATTTTTATTATCTACATGTAAGGAACGTTTACTAAAAAACAAAAAACACTATTCTAGGAAACGAAAATATTTAATCATTCAGTAATTTGGTACCTATCTAATGATAATATTTTCCAGGTTTCTAATGACTGGTATTTCCCAAGTAGATACAGGCGTTGAGTGAGAAATAGTTCACTCAATATTGTTATACAGGTATTAAAGGTAAGGATATTAAATAAGCAGCTGCTTCGAAAAGAATTCAACAAAGAAGTCATTTGATATAAATAAAAAAATATGTTGGATTATTATTTTGATACTGATGTAGAAGGTATGGCAATGAATTATTTTAATGTGAAATTAAATTTGTCTTTATAAAGGCAAACACATTATTTGATTTCAACTAAATAGAGGTTTGGTTTTATATATGACAAATTAATTGTTGAAGTTTACATACATTTCAGATCACATACTTATTTGAAATATAAATACGACCAACTCTTGAGTTTTCAATAACTTTAATAGTGATTAAAATTTCAATTTGCTACCGTAAAGTCTGGTTACACTCAAAGGCGTCGCCAAGGGGGCGAAGGGGGGTCGTCTCAATGGCCTAGCAATGATTAGTATACACAGAAAGCTTATTTTTGACAACCATGAAGATTTTATTCATAAAGTGGTTGATAAATTTTCAAAAAATCCGAGATTATATTTTACCTAATTTTAGTTGAATTTCTTAATTTTTTTAGTTATTTATATTTTTCGTAATGTTTTTCTTGTTTTAAGGTTTTATTAAAAATATTTATAAAAAAAATTAATTCGCTGTCCCTATTTCTACTTATAATTTATATTTCTCCCATTCTCTCTCATCTTGACCCCCCCCCCCCTCTAGCCCATTGGCTGGCGACGCCTTTGGTTACACTGAAAATTATGGAAACTATTTTCAGTCTCTACATACACTGACGTATTTGTAAAATAGAACATATCGCATTAGTTTAATATTAATATAGATACAAAAGGCATTTTAAAAATATCTTTTGTACGATTAAGAATATCCCTTCTCGAAAAATACACAAATACAAAAAAACTTTGTCATTGAAACGTAGCTTATAAATTATAATATGTTCTGTGACATAATGTAGAGTCAGTCAATCCGCTTGCGAGACTTCTAGTATGTACTCTTTTATTGATTTTCAATTAAAAAATGTAAACTCATGGGTTAAGTCACTTGATTTTTTTTATGTGGCAGGTATGAAAAAGACCTAAATCGTAAAAATGATTCCATTAAAAATATATCTGGCCTACGTGACATAAACGTACTTGCGGTGAGCCTTGCCGTTTCTAAAAATATTAATCATCCTTAAATCTCAGTGCTACTTGATGCCCACTGGTATAGTCTTTCTGTTCTCAATTGAAGAACCAAGAGGTTGGTAGTATGTACCAGGTTCGGTCGCTGACGCAGCAACTCGGCATTCAAATAGTTGAAAAACTTGTTCCCATATTTATTTAGCCATACCCATATACAGGAGGTGGAAGACGCCCAGTTGAAGAATGCACGCGCGGGCAAACGGCGTATAACATAGGCACACTGGGCGACTGGGCAATAAATCTCAGTTGTTGACAAATTGCCTAGTAGTTCAGTGCAGCAATGCGAAATTTGGTGTGATTCAGGTAATTTTAATTTATTATAGGCACTTTCTATTAACCATTCCTATTACAATTGCAAAAGGGAGAAATTAGAGGGATATTTCGTTTACTAATATATACCTTTTGAAACGGAACAAAACAAAATTTACAACCAATATAATAAAAGGGTTTGAGGACATAAATAATTAAAATATGTTATTGGCCAAATGAACATATAATAGAAATTTTCTACACATTATATACAAATTATTATAATTTTTTTCCTTTAGCAGAAAACTTTTTCAGGGGCACCTATGAAACTCATTAAATTTTATTGCTAGGCGTTTTTATACATGTTCAACTGACTTCGGAAAGACTATACAAAGCTTTGCTTTATACCTATTATCACGAAGTGACGCAATGTGCAGCTGCTCAACAATTTTTCGAAAATTTATGCCCCTTGAAGGAGGTTGAAATAAACCCAAAAAATCCCTAAGTTATTTTTTGCTACAACCTATTTATTCCATCTTTATTTGGAAACTTTGAGATGCTATATTTCCTAAGGGGTGAATAATGTCATTTTTATGCAAAACGTGTTCTTTTTAACTGTAGATTTACCGATACCATTTGTGCTACTTCTTTTGAAAACACCCTGTATAAAAATTATATCGGAATGCGCATGCGTCTGATTGTTGGAAATCACTTTGAATTGCTCTAGGAACAAAGCTAATGACATTTAAAAAATGTGTCATATGACATGTGTATGGTTACCCACAATCAAAACATGTCTGTAGATATAGAAATAGCTGAATCATTCCTCGGTCTCAGACGTCTCTATTTTAGGATAGGTACTTTTTACTAACAACCTCTCTAACAATGATCTCTTCTATAGCACTGGCGGGAAATAATATGTTCGAAGCGGGTCTAGGTCTAGTGACTCTTTTGGCGATTGATCTTAGTTATTTACTAGATATTAGGGGTGTAACTCAATGCTAGTCAAGGCATATAATCAGTGGAGCAGTTGTTTTTTACAATACCATTAGTAAAAATAAATTCTGTATTTCTAAAACTTCACTTATTAATAATCGATTTTTGAGAAATTTTTTTTTTCGTGTTTGTAGGTGAAAATAAAATTACAGTAAAATAATAATACAACCTTAACTTAAGCAAAAATCACGACAATAACGACAAACGGTATAGTTTATTGTTAGTACCAATAAAATTATATTTTGGCGTTTCGTTTGCATAAAATTGAAAAAAAAAGACTTTTCTGTACCTACTTACAAAACAGTGATATAGAGGACTACTAAACAGACTAATAGGAATAGCCCCGTATTCTTTGCATTTACAAAACGCAAAGTAAGTAGCTGAAATAAGTATTTAACTTACGTGGGTGATAAAGCTGGATTTCCTTTTTGCAATACCAAGGCATATCCAAAATATGAACTGATAGTCTCGTTTGCACGGATTTCATCAATGTTGTTTATGTCAAAGTTAAAACACAAAACACTGGCGAAAAACTGCAAGAAGAGTAGATGTCTCATAGCGGGAACCAGTGACTTAGAGCTGCTATAACAAAATGTTCAAAAACAAACATATAAAAGTTTTGAAAAGGAAACTGAGCGATAACTGACGATATTGTGAAGTTATCGCTGTCACTTGGACAGGAAAAAAGAATCATCGCGCGTCAGGGTTTGCCCACAAGATTAAATAAAACTTGCGATATAGGATTTCTAAATAAATAACTAATTCAGAGTGATTCATAAATGTAAAACACAGCAGATAATAAAAAAGAAACGAAATATCATTATACAGGACATATACAGAGTTTCCATAGTTCTCGGGTTGCCTATACCTGAAATGGATACAAAATTTCAGTTGTCAAAAAAAATCATTCTTCATAAAAATTTTTGCTTGTCCAGAAGTCCTTGGCAAGATAGTCATTTGTTCAATTTAATGTACAGGGCGTTCAAAAACTGGGAAAAGGAAAAAACAGTAAAGAGTAAAGTACCTTAAATCTTAACACTACGTGAAAAAGTAATGAGGGAAAGTTGCATTTTTAAATATGAAAGCATGGACTTCTAGTTAATACTCGACATCCTGGGATATTCTAGGACTCTACTTATTTTTTAATACTTTCGCAGAAGCCATTCTATTTAAAAAAATATTGCTTTATTGAAAAACAGATACACAACACATGTTTGCATATTAATAATTTATTTTTTATACAGGGGATCAAAAACCTCAAAAACATTAATCCAACATTTATTTTGAGAACACAGCAGAATCAGTATGTACGCGCCATTACAAAACTATTCTACATGAAGTTCGCCAAGTTCAACACACCTCCAATCTTTTTCTAAATAACTTCAATTATCCTGCTGTTCAAGAAATCAACATTGTGTTGCACTGGCTCTCTGTACACTTTTTCTTTCAAGAAGCCCCAAAGGAAATAATCAAAATACCAATAATTTCTAGAAGGCAATTGTTATCAATAATTGTTTGACATTAGTTGTGACATTAGGTGTTAATATTTAATTTTATTCTAATAATTCTTACTTTACAGCATCGCATTTATCTTGTTAAAGGTTACGGTATAGATAACATTTCTTATAGCCAAGTAATTGAATTATTTGTTTCATGGAAAATATCCAGATGTAAAGTTACCCGCCAAAATCTGAGAAAACTAACTCGAAAATTTGATTTAACTGGTAATGTAAAAAAACGTAAAAAGGTCAAAAAAAAGACACGATGACGATGATGCAGCCACAGTAATACTAGTTTTGAATCCGGTAGAAGAAAACCTGAGACTGTCACTAAGGAAGATATCTAAACAAATCGATCTTAGCAAGACTTATTATTATTATTATAGATCTTATTCAGAGGGTTTTGGTAGAAAATAAGTTTGTCTTTCAAACCAAAAGTAATTCACACTCTAGAAGTTGTTGATGATGAACATCGTTTGGAGTTCTGTTTAGAGATAGGAGAAAGGATTATGGTAGATAGACATTTTCACAAAAATATAATTTTTTCCGATGAAACCACTTTTTCTACCAATGGAGTGGTATCGTCGCAAAATTGTCGTTTTTGGTCGCAAGAAAATCCTTCCTTTACAGTTACTTCAAGAAGTTAAAGGTTCAAAAAAGTAAATGTTTGGTGCGCGATTACTTTCAACCGAATAATTGTGCCATACTTTTTTTAACCTGGAGATGCTAGACACGTTTTTCTGGCCAGAATTAGAAGAACAACATTTGGAATATAGACAAAAAGCGTATTTCCAACAAGACGAATGTCTCGCTCACTCAACAATTCTAGTCCGCAATTGGCTTAACAGAAAATTTCGAGACAAGTGGATAGGAAGATATGGTCCTATTTGTTAGCCGGCCAGCAAGGTCCCCTGACTTGTCGCCGCTTGATTATTTTTGCTTTGGGGCTTCTTGAAAGAAATAGTGTACAGAGAACCAGTGCAACACAATGTTGATTTCTTGAAAAGCAGGATAATTGAAACTATTTATAAAAAATAAATTATTAATATGCAAACATGTGTATCTGTTTTTCAATAAAGCAATATTTTTTAAATAGAATGACTTCTTCGAAGTCCTGGAATATCCCAAAATGTCGAATGCATTTCTAGAAGGCCATGCATTCACATTTAAACATAAAATTTAATTCCAAGCAACTTTTCGCCATTACTTTTTCACGTTGCGTTAAGATTTAAGGTACTTTACTCTTTACTGTTTTTACCTTTTCCAAATTTTTGAACACCCTGTACATTAAATTAAACAAATGACTATCTTGCCAAGGGCTTCTGGACAAGCAAACATTTTTATGAGGAATGATTTTTTTTGACAATTGAAATTTTGTATCCATTTCAGGTATAGGCAACCCAAACTGGGGACACCCTGTATATTATATTTTTCCTTTAATAACGGAAATAGTATCTTCGGCTTAAAAAAATATCATTTTCGTACCGACCTCGCAAAATTTGCAATTTTTATGCGAAAAAATTGGCGGAATAAGATTTCGGAAAAGGTAGAAATAATTTAAACTTTTTTTATGAATTTCATTGATTTATGACATAATTCACAATTTACAAATAATACAGTACAACAAAAAAAATTGTGATCTGAATCACTGGCCATGCTATCTATTCCTACGTATTTTTCGACGCTGAATCCTAATCCGAGGTCAACAAAATTCGTATACCTACCCCTTAAATTTATGTGTAGAGCCAAACACATCCTTTAAATATGGGTACGGAAAGGAGTATTAATGGACACTTTGAAAACCTCCTGGTTTCATTTACATTTCACCCCGAAGGTGTTGGTACGCCTTCTACACCTGTTCTAGGCGGTCGGTAAAAAGACACACAGAAAAACGAGTGGACCGACCACAGAGGGGGCGATAAAACCTTTTTTAATCGCTATATTACGTTATTACGAACAAAAAACCTTAATGACATTTTTCTGTATCGATGGTAGTGTAATTTGTTATTAACAAAAAACTTTCGTTTTTCAGTCGCGTTTTCTATAGTGTGGAAAAAAATCGCCGGGATGAAAAATATATAACATGAAATCATGAAAATATAACTTTCGGTGAGTAACTCCGAACAAGAATAATTAATAAAGCTCCAGTAGTCCGAGAAATCATAAATTGAAAATGGCGACTTTTGGTTATTTTTCAACCTTAAATCGCACATAGCTCGAAAAAGCTTTTTTCGAAAAAATCACAAGAGTTAAGAAAGTGCTTATTTTTGCCCAAAATACATAACCAATGTTTTCATATCGATTGTTTATAAGTTTTCGCAATATTTCAAGTTTTTTGTTAATAACAAATTACTGACTATTGATACAGAAAAATGTTATGAAGGTTTTTTGTTCACAACACGTAATATAGCGATTAGAAAAGGTTTCATCTTGCCGCCCTCCGTGGTCAGTCCACTCGTTTTTTCGTGCGTCTTTTTAGGGGTGCACCACTCGTATATTCTACGTCAATACTCTTCCATCCCTTTAGACGGGTAGGTACGGGCAAAGCAGCTGAGGGCTGTTCCGCTCAGCGCACTGCGACCATTGCGCAGTAAAAATAAAAAAAATGTGCTCTCTCACATCTTCCTCCACCCCGTCCAGCAGAAGATAGTTTTAGTTCTTTGTCTGTGTTCACCATCCACCATGTCCCCTTTGCATTCTCAAGACCTTGTAAGGTAGAAGCTTTCATTAGGCAGATCTATGTCCGGAAGGGTATAGAAGTAGAAGGGGTGTAGAGGGGGTACTAACCCGTTCGAAGGAGCCCTTGGCGATAATAAAAAATGAGAGCACAAGGTTTGCAAAGTGTCATTCATACTCCTTTCCGTAATGACACTGATATTCACAAATTTACCCCTATTTAGGGGATGTTTGGGCTCTACATACGAATTTTTTTAACCTTGGATTCGGATTCAGCGTCGATACATAGGAATACCATGGTCAGTCATCCAGATCACGACCTTTTTTTTTGTGGGGCTGTGTAATTAGTGGAGTTTATATGGCATACCATTTCCTGAACTTGAAAATAAAGAAGTATTCCAAAAACTGTTGAGTTTACTACTATTTCAGTCATTATAATCTGTTGTTAACAAAAATAACCAAAATTCTGAAATTATCTTGAACGAAACGAACAAATTGAACTTGAAGTGAACGGGGGTCACGCAGGATGATGCAGAATGAAGTTCTTAGAATTTTTCTATAATAGGTAGGTACTTTGTTCTTATATGAACTACAAACGCTACTTTTGCGATTTTTCAAAAATATATTCACTTGCTCTAAAGATCAATTGATAATATAGCTAATAAGTGACGGTCCGCGCACGGCTATCAAATGTTTCTATATAGAATGAGTGTTCGAAATTTACCCATGTTTCGAAAAGAATTCGTTAAACCTTCAAAAAACTCTATGCAATGCGCCGTTCCCGCCAAAATAATAGGAATCATAGACAAATCATCGCAGACTGCCTACCAGGCATCGAATCAGAAGGTGCAGAGCGGGAAAACACATTTACATTTATGTTTAAAAAATTTTCGGCGGAATTTCCATCCGCAAAGCCCCAATTGCCGCCAAAATGTTTTATTGTTAGACGTAGCAGATGATGCTGACAGCGCATGCGATGAAGCGCTACAATAGCCTCAACCACGCAGGAATGCGCCAAAAATTTTCACACACCTTTTGAAGATTTCCCGCCAAGCGGCCATGAAGCCATGATTGCCGCCGAAAGTATCAGCCGTACCAGACGACGTTGACATCGTATGACGTTCATCACCCAGAACCTAAATACATAAACAAGGCCCAGAAGCCACCGACAGCGCAGGAATGCCCTTGTTTATTCAAGTTTGTCCTGATTTGGAAATAATAATTTTAATCCAGTAAAATAAAACAGGTACCTACCTACCTAGTTGTCAGAATGAAACAGAATATTTGTATATGTATTTTTCTTAACAATAATGACTCTTTAAAAGGGATGAATTGGAAAATTATCCGTATCGTGTTACGAAAATACTCAAAATTTATTCATGAAAGTACCTCTTGGTATCGCCATCACTGGTTGATTATTTCAATACCAATTCTGTGAACTTTTGCCTTAAATTAATATATATGTCATCCATCATAAAACCAGTGGCTTTAGATTCTTAACCCGTACAGATTTTTTGGCCTAATATGAACAACCTCCTGAAGTAGGTAATATACACTCTTAAATATAATTTCCTTTTAATACTTTTAATTTTGAAAATTATTATTTTTCTGTATCTATTGGAATAACGAATATAATGCCCTTCATCTCAACTTTCATTAATGCACATCAACGTATAGGGCAGATATATTAACTAATTGACGATATATTTAATGCCTTTAAATTTTGAATTTTGAATATTTTCCAAATTAAATTTTATATAAAAAATAGTCATCAAAAGTCCAAAAAATCATTATATCGTAGAAATTTTTATTTATCTGAGGAATTGTATGGGGACAACTGCCAAAAATTGAAAATGTTATTTGCAACAGAAAATTCGTATAGTTTTTTTTGTGAATAGAATAGTTTTAGAGATTTATCTTAAAATTAATCAACAATATATCAAAAATATATAAATAACCAATTTCCAACAAACTTAGTGTCGTAGAAATTCTAGCATTTTCAATGAAAATGCCTCCCGATTGACATATTTCTATATGTATACCAATTTAACAAATTTCAAATTTGTGTTTTTAATTATTTAAACCGTTAGCCCAAGTATCTATTTACGTAAAATTAAATTTCAACACCTTGTATCTAGGTATCTATATCGAAAATCGGTGGCTTTAGACCCCTGGTTCATTCCGACTTTTTGCCTTACAATAATCCAAGGAATACGTTCCTGAAGTTGTTATGACATACGTACAGACAAAATACCCTCTGTATATGTATACTTAAATAGTAGGTACCTACAATGTACTAAGTACATGATATTTCCATTTTATTAAAAAATATAAGAGTTGTCAGCTCTACTTCTGGTATCACAGAAAATTATGAAACCGTCCAAATACCTGTATACAGGCGGTTACAAATTCGCTTCTCACTACAAGGATCTCGGAAACGGTAAGAGGTATGATGTAGCTTAAATGTGGGTAAAGTTGCGTAATCAGGGGACCAACATTATGCCTCTAAAAAATCAAGGTAACATGATCAGTTTTCGAAATATTTGAAAAGAAAACGAAATTTTGAAAATCCGTTTTTGTTTCATTTCAGCCTTATTGAGGTGATATTGAAAAAAGAAGAACACTTTCTCATGGCCACTTTTTGCCCTCTATCGAATGGCTTAATCAATTTTTATTTGTAACGTTTCGTCTCTCCAGGACCATCATCAAATTTATTTTTTTAAGTACGAGCCTGGAAATTTTATTACATTTTTTGCAAGCCCACAATACTGTACTGCCTCAGCCCGAACTAAATTCAGACGTTTTGTCTCAAAAAATTCATCTTCAGTGTATTCGTTCCAAATTTATCTAATTTTTTTATTTAGATTTTTTTGTTTATTGAATGATCGTACACTGTAAGCGTCGTTAGACCCTGTGAAATCCATCCAGTTATTTAAACTATTACCACCACACATTAAAATAAAACATTATTAGTATTTTAAGTTTTATTCCCGTGACCATAGTTATTTCTATAGGCTTATCGAGTGCCCAAAATTCAAACAAATTTCCACCAATTTTTTTCAGGATATTCATACAAATACATCTGACATGCTCTTTCATAGTTGCGGTTACAGATATAATAAATTCCGATAATATTACGCTTATCATCATTTTCAACCTCTGCCAAAACGAAAATGTTTTTGAACATTCACTGAAATCTTTCAAAGAATAATATTCAGTTGGCGTTTTGGTTGTACATATGCATTTTTAAGAATTAATTTGTGATAATAAAATTAAAATTGTAATAATGTTTTAATTTTGATGCAACAATTTATTAAGTTATCTATGACCTAGTGATGTTATACTAATTAATGATAATAGTTTTATAGTAACGCGTGGTGGTAATAGTTTAAATAACTAGATGGATTTCACAGGGTCTAACGACACTTTACAGTGTACGATAATTCAATAAAGAAAGAAATCTAAACAAAAAAAATTATATAAATTTGGAACGAATACACTGAAGATGAATTTTTCGAGACAAAACGTCTGAATCTGGTTAGGGCTGAGGCAGTACAGTATTGTGGATCATGACGACTTGCAAAAAATGTAATAAAAATTCTAGGTTGTATTTAAAAAATGAAGTTGATGATGGTCCTGGAGAAACGAAACGTTACAAATAAAAATTGATTATGCCATTCGATAGAGGGCAAAAAGTGACCATGAGAAAGTGTTCTTCTTTTTTCAATATCACCTCAAACAAGACTGAAATGAAACAAAAACGGATTTCCAAAATTTCGGTTATTTTTAAATATTTCGAAAACTAATCAGGTTAGTCTTGATTTTTTAGAGGCATTATGTTGGTCCCCTGACTACGCAACTTTGCCCCCATTTAAGCTACTTCGTACCTCTTACCGTTTCCGAGATCCCTGTATTGATAAGCGAATTTGTAACAGCCTGTATATTCTATATTCAAATATTGTGTTTATTAGATATGCAATAAGTATACGCTTCACAACACGTTTTACAACAAACTCTTCGAAAGGTATCTACCGGTACCGTGTAACATTCCCCTGGTTCACCCTGTTTAGATAGACTTCTAACAATTCTGACTTCTAGGAAGCCTCGAAGACAGGCCCGGTCTGGCTCTTTCAGGGGCCGTCGGGAAAATAGAAATCGGGGCCTATTTAGTTTTGTCTGTTATTAGGGTGCATATCGACTTTCCCCAGCAAAACTGTCGAATCTCAAATTTAGTTATACTGATTGTGAGATAATTGCATTTGAATAGTTGAGAAAATAATATTGTTCGTTATTTTTTTTATTACAAGAGCTAAATTGTTCTTCTTTAACAAAGTAATTATTGGTTAGGTCTTAATTAGTTATTGAAGAATGATCTAAATTAAACATTAAAAAAAATTAAACATTTTCTATTTTTAGATAAAAAAATAATTGTTAATCATCAATAATGACATAAAAGCAAAATTTATTACTATTCAGAGTCAGAGTCATCTTGGTCAATATTACTTTCTTCCTGATGGCCTGTCTTACTAGTAGGCCGAAGGGAGTTGTAAAATCCATGATACATCGGTGGTATCAAATTAGCCTTACACAGACCCAAAAGACCGCTTAATTTTTTACCGTCAATTGGCAGCANACATTTTCCCGCCTGTCTCGGTGTCCTGATCAACTGTATGGACTCGTTACGAACCGCAGAAAACCCAACGGTGATTCCAAAGAATCCGGAAACACCTAAAACGTGTCATTACATTAACACCTAAACGGGAACATGTCCGATCTCACTGCAGGAAACTTACTTAAAATCACGTAAAAATTCAACAGAAACCTTGACAGCAAAACATTCCTCATCGTACTAGAGTCACACTTCACTACACTGACGACAAAAACTGCCTGCGTTTTTAGAAAATATTCGGATATTGCCAAGACCGTCGGTCGTGGCGCATATCGAGATGTCTTGTTTTTGTTATCTCGAGAGAAGAGGTCTCGACTCTCAACCTCGTCGGAACACTTCTTGATAAGTGTGTTAAGTGTTGGATTGTAACCACTTGCGCGCTGTTGGGGATTTCCTAGTTAATTTTCCCGTGAATTTGTTTATTATTACAGCTGCTAGTTGGCGAAAGGTTGCTGTTATATTCAGCTGTTACAATGTCACATAACATAGTGTAGAGTGGACAGTAAATGATACCCCGAAAAACAGGCCCGGTCTGGCTCTTTCAGGGGCCGTCGGTAAAAATCGGGGCCTATTTGGTTTTGTCTGTTATTAGGGTGCATATCGACTCTCCCAGCAAAAACTGTCGTATCTCAAATTTGGTTATATTTTGTTTAAATTACGATTATTATAATCATCATTTTTGCTGTTCTCTTCTCGGGATCTGTATTCTTATAGGCACTACACACGGAATCTTTTTTTGGCTTAAAGAAATAAGCTATATTAAATTTCGAATTCTCTTTCCTTCAGACCCACGGTTTATAGATAAAGGAGTTATTAGTTTAAAGGGCTTACGATTTGGAATATATGTTTATTTCTCTCTTTCTTTTCTGTAGGTACACTGTTTATAGGGGTATAGGGCAAAATAATAATAAAAAAAATTCATTTTCTCATTCTTCTCTTTTATTTTCAATTTACGGTGGTTATATCTCAAGAATTTACACAAAATTTTCCAAATCTTCCAAAATAAGTCGGGTTTTGCCGACTTCTCGACCTGGCCAGACCGGGCCTGCTCGAAGAGTCAGTATTTTTTTTTTATTACAATTGAGTTAGTCAGTTTAATTTAAAGTGTCTATTTATGTGGTGGTGTAATGTAATATTTAATTATTGTAATAATCTGTACCTCAGATCATTTTTTCCCAGGACCGTTTTTTGTGTTTTCAATCGAATCTAATTTTCTATTACCTAAATAAATAGTTTCATTGATAGGTAAATAAATCCAAGGTAATAAATGCTTTCTGCATTAATTCAAACATTGTGACGTAAGTTCTCGATCTAAATAAATCAGTAAACAGTCTAATAAATCTTGTATAATGAGAGTTCAGGTAAAACTGTTATGATTTTGCCGCCAAATCCCTCGACAAACGACCCGTTACAAATGGTCTGGTTCTATTGGTAGATTTGAGAAGAATCGTTTAGTGACCCACCGTTTCAAATTTTGATGCAGTAGCATCAACCGTCTTTGTTGGCAGCAGTTTAGTACTAGCATTTGTTTGTGTCGTATTGGTCGCTTGAGATCCTTGGGTTCTGGCTTGGTGAGTTAATTTTAATTTTACATTATAAAAGCATATAAAAGCTATGGCTAGATCGTAATTACTCTATAAAACAACAGTTTTTTTACTGAAACATGTTGATTTTTATCGATAGCGGATGTATTTAGATCTCCCAGCAATTAATTTTAAGCCACCCAAGAAATTCTTTTATTGCTACAATGGCTGCCCTTTTATCGAAATTCTAGCAAGCTATTGAATTTTTTTATACCTTATACTTGACGTTTTCTTGGATAAAATAATTTTCAGTACAACATAATAAATTAGTTGCATTTTTGAAATATGCTAGTATTGTCTTAATTATTTTATTATATATTTAACAAATTTTAATTTTGGCGCTAAAACCATTAAGAAACAAAGAACTGGAACTGACGCTGCGTCGGCGTCCTTGATTTGTTTTATTTATTTTTTATTTATATCTAAATTCTCAATCTAAAAGAAAAGCTGAAGCCAAATTTTTTTTATTTACAATTCACGATATGCAACTCCAAATTTGCAAATTATATTGCTTCGATTTATTTTTAGAAATAGCATGCATAAAAAGATAGTCTTAACTTTATACTAAAATTCGCATTATTTCTAGATATCTAAATACTTAAAACCGCAATAAAAATGTCTGACGAAGAAGTCCAAACAAAAAAAGGTCGCAAAACTGCAGCAGAAAGTACGAAACGTCCAAAGAAGGTAAGACTAAACCCAATTTACATTATTTAATAAATTAGGTACAGGATATTTACCATATCCTGTATCTAGTTTCGTGTACTTCTTTGATATCAAATTAGTTATTTCCTAGTGTGGTTTGAAGAAATGGTACCTATATTAATATTTTTTAAATTAATAAATATGTTAGTTTGTATTATGCTTATGTTTGCACGATAAATTAAATATGAATGGTTTTAAAGGAAGCAAAATCTTCTGAGCCTAAAGATGATGGCGATGCACCTCCAGTCAAAAGAGGCCGTGGAAGACCCAAGGGATCTACTAAGAAAAAGACTGAAACAAAGGCTAGGGCAAATGGAGGTAAGTTATCTAATTATTTTTAAGATACAAGGCATATCTTGGTTATAATAGTTGTCGCTTCCAGAACGATTCAAAATTGGTAACTGACAATTTCATATACAGTAAGACCCCACTTAACACGTAGGATACGCTCCATCAAAGTAGAGCTTAATGCGAAACAGCGCTAAACGAGGCTATCTTAACATGTAAATAATGGGGTTAGGGGAAGATGGATAGAAAATTGGTTAGGTATTAAATTTAATAATTATGTTTTTTTTAATAAAAATAAAACCAAACATTTATTTCTTACAAAAATAAAAACAATATAAACGAATATTACTTATAAAAACAAATAAAATTCTAAGTCAGTCAGATCATTCAGTCTATTCTGTGTTTCCAATTTTCTGCCTTTTTGTCAAGAAGACATCTAATGTAGTTTGCGTTTTCCTTTTGCGTTCCGTTAGAAGTTGTTGATAAGTGGATAAAGCATCTATAACACCCTGTCTTGCTTTTGAACTCCTGTCAAAATTTGGATAATTTTCAACAAATTGGTCCATAATTTCAGTTATAGTGGTCAAACTCCTTTTTTCATTATCACCCATGATAAAAACTAAAGATCATAATATTTGTCACTGTATTAATCATTATAGTATTATATAAATTTATACTTACAATAATGTCAACAAATGTTTCAACTGATAAAAATGCATCCGTACAGCACCGCACCAAACAAGAAACACACTACACAATTTTTCAACTCGTAACAGGTCTTCTGATAGTATTATGTAGTTCTCACTAATATTCCTGTATATGAACCCCAGTCTCCAAAATTTTAGATGACATATCAGCACGGCCCACCCCAGAAAAAAAAGATCTAATATCATCTTTGTCATATCAGTAAGTCGGTAACTGTGGACCTTTTCTTTTTTTTTAAAGTCAAAAACGTATTCAAATTTTAAATCAAAAGTCGCTGAGTTTTTGCTTATTATCCTAAACTAAAATTGTAGCTACGCCCATGGCCTGAAGCTGTTCATAAAATTTGTCAAAGAAATAATAATGGAGTGGGGATGCATGTCATCCAAAGGGTTGGGGATTTCTGGGTTCACTGATAGGAACGTTAACTTGAAAAATATACTGGCAGAGAAACAATTACTCAGTATTGAAAAGTTGTAATCGCATGGAAATTTCAGTTTTTGACAAAATGGTGTGCTTGCTACATAGTGAGGTTAATTATAAGTCGGTTCGACAATAATAGTTTTGGAACATCAAGCAAAAACAAAAAGTTAGAATTAGATTAGAATTAAAATGGACAGAGATAGTTGCAAGATGAAGTGGAAAATTCTCTAAGAATGCTGAAATTTGGAACAATTTTACGAGACACGATTCTCGGAAGCTAATAATGTACCTCAAAGAATCAAACCCATGATTAAAGAAAGTGATGTAGTATCCTATATCACAAACTTGCCATAATATTTAGTTTCCAACAAAATATTGTTTCAATTTTGTGGTATTTCAAGTGTACAGTTGTTATACAGGGTGTTTGTAAATAAGTGCGAAATATTTTAGGGGGTGGTTGCCTAAGTTATTTTGTGATAGAAAGTTCATATAAACGTAGATTGAAATATGCTTCGTTTCCGAGATACAGAGTGTTGACATTTTAATTTTTTATTTATTTTTATTAATTATTTCAAAGAATTTTAAAGATATTGACTCGGAATTTGATTGTTGTATTTTATTTACAAATATTGACAGCAACCTACTAGATAATGTATCAATAGAAATTAAAAATACACAACTTGCAATAAAATCTGTTTTATTTTTTGCTAAAAAACGGTGCATCGTATGAAAAAATTGAAGAGACTAATTTCATTCAGAATTAATGGCAGATTTCTAAAAAATATCAAAACAGTAAAAAGTCTAGCATACCGTTTTTTTTTAAAGGGTGGCATTCTCCACGAATGCCACTGGTGGGAGTAGAATCAACGCAAAAAATGCCCATGCCATAGCGCCTTTCAAATTTCGAGTCAGTATCTTTAACTCTGAAATAATTAATAAAAAATAAATAAAAAATTTAAGTTTAAACACTCTGTATCTTGGAAACGAGGCATATTTTGACCTAGGTTTATATGATTTTTTTTTCACAAAATAACTTTGGCATCCCCTAAAATATTTTGTATATATTTATTTACAAACACCCTGTATAATTGCATTAGGTGTGAACGATTGTTGCACCTGTATCTATATTTATAAATATTAACCTAAAACCACATGTGGAATGTGAAAAAATTCTGTTTGCACATATAATTGTCAGGGCAGTATGTCATTTTTAAATTAACAAATATTTTTTAGTTGGACGGCGCGGTAGATCTAAAAAGGAAAAGGAGGAGAAAGACTCAACTGAAGAAGAAGAAAATGGAGAAAAGAGCAGTGCCAATGAGGAAGAAGACGATGATGATTAAGTTATTCCTTGACTCATTAGATATTTCTTTAAGGTTCCACTTCTGAATAATATTTTTTATATAGTTCTGCGAATGTTAGATTTAAATGTGTTCGCTTAAGTTATAAATTATCCATAAAAGTTCTATAGAAATATTTGATACTCAAATTAGTTTTAAGTTGTTTCAAAACATTAGACTGAGACTAGTCGTCTTCATTCCAGATTTTTTTTGATATAAAACGGACTTCGAGAATTTTGTACATATTTATAAATATTTCAGTTTTAATGAAATAAATTTGGAAATTATGTGGTTCTTTTTTTTCAACAAATAAAGTTTTTTACATAAACACACTACAGAAATGAGACAATCCCCAAAGCCAAAGACTGAGCGAAGGGGGCTACACTTGAAAAAACACGGACAAACGTCCATTATCCGTCGACGTTGCCAGTACCGACGCCAGAGATAACTTGGACCAGAATAGGAAGTATGGCCGAGAAATGCTTGCCACTGCATGCTCGACCGACTACGCTACCGTGGCGATCAAATAACAGCTTTATAGAAAACATCACTATTATACAGGGTGTTAATTAAGTATGTACAATAAATTCAACAGAAGATGAATATAAAGTTAAGGGGCTAATTTAACCCTAACTTGATTAAATTTATTAAGTCTAGTGGCGCCCCGAGCGGTACCTTAACAAATATTTTTGACAAAAAAATGTATGCCACTGACTTTTGTAATTTTTATATATTTTTTGAATTAAGCAACTAAAAATACAACTTTTCTGTCTTGAATGTTTTTCGTATCATGATTAATTTTTTTAGAAAAAAATAAAATACACAGTTGCATATCCCTGGACCACACAAGAAACTTGGGGAAAAGTTTCTTTTGGAAATTATATATATTTTTTTATTTTGTATTAACATGTAACATCTAAATAACATAAAGTACAAATAACACTGCCTAATTACAACAAAATTGGGTAAGGGGTATTTAAGACATTTACGAAATAGCAATTTTTTTTACAAAAGGTTAACACCCTGTATCTTGAAAACGAAGCATCTGCGGACCAATGTTTATATGAACTCTTTGTCTTAAAATCACTCAAATAATAGTCTATTGAATTTATTGCACATATACTTAATTAACACCCTGTATAAAAAATGTTTTTCTATAGAAAAAATATGTTCCTGAATTAAAGGAAAAAAAACAAAAAGTGGACAAATTTTTGTAATTTGTAGTTAAATTCTGAATGATGAAATGAATATTGACAGCTGTTTTAAAAGAAAATGAAAATATTAATATTAACATAAGTAGCTGGTGTTTGCAATTAAAAAGTTTACTTGACCCATATACCATCAAAAATATGTACGTCGAATAAGCACTAATTTAGAGTTAAAAATAAAAGAGAATATAATAGTTTTGAACTTAAAAAAATTTCAGGTTATAATTATTCATTACTAAATGTAATAAATAATATCTCTACCCCTCATTCTAACTGCAAGGATTAGCCTAGAAGTCGGATACTTGTGCGGGAAAGGGAGCATGTGCGCCCAGGAACGACTTACATACATTGGTAAACCCTAACAACCATTCAGTGCAATAATGAAAGAAACTTGGAAAACTTCATTAATTAGGGGAATGGTTAAGATGCCGATCGGTATCAATCTCTCACATTAACTCAAGCCAATGTTCTTCCACCATACCATACCCGCAGAGAGGGTGCCTAATTCTTGTCTATGAATATAGCCGATATACTCTCATAATACTCAAAAAGATACAAAAGAGCATATGATGCAGTGGCTGCTGATGAAAACTAAGATGTCATACTTTGATAATAAAGAGTCAGATTCATACCAATTTTTCGAAGATAATTTCTAGATACACAGAGAATTTTCATGATGGAACAAATGTTAGAAAAAAATTGCAAAATAAAAGGCAGTTAGGCGTTCCCGACCCTGAGATATTGAAAAAGGTTTCACATAAATGTGCAATATATTTTTTTTTCATACAGTTACACACTATATTTGAAAAATATTGTTAGTGATAAATTAAAATTTAGTTAGGTATAACCACACAATAAAGAACTGAATTTTGTGAAAAATAAAACACTGCAATCCCTTTTAAAACCACATGGTTGGCAAACCCCTATTTTTATTTTTGAAATCTCAAATTCTATGCAAGGATAGAACTAATCCCTTAAAAAAATGGTATATACTGCGTTTGTTTTTTTAGAGGCCTGTACAGAGCTGCAGCAAACCTGGGCCCATGCCAAGCAAAAATCCTAGTTAGCTACGCCCATGGATGAGACTTAGGAAAATGCTTAGATTTATGAATACCTTTAAGAGTTATGAACTTAAATCAAATTTTTATTCATTATAAACATACATACTACATTTTTTTATCATCTCCAGATATTGTAAATTTCAATAATGAACCTTCTAATATGGAAATATTAATATTATATACAGGGTGGTCCGAATTTTATGCAGGAAACTTCGAGGGCAGATACATCTCTTTAAAATAATAGGTGTCTATAAACATAGGTCTGGAACGACTCCGTTTTAGAGATACAGGGTGTTGAAGTTGTTAAAAAGATAGATTTTTTGTGTACGTATATCAGGAATATATTAACCAATCTCAATAAAATTTGGTACAGATAATCTATGATAGTAGGCCTTGCATTACCTAAAATATGATCTCTAAAGGTTCAATCAGCGGTGTACAATTGGACAGGGGTCACCCCCCTTTTTTAAAAAAAAAAACCAACCCAACGCAATTTTAAAAAGTAATGGAAACGAATTAAAATCCAAAGCAAAAAAAAACGAAAAAAGGAAATTGAATTTTTTCACTAAGATTCGCCGTTCTCAAGTTATTCATACCAGTACAATCCCATTGTGGCAGACACTTCTAACCATAATATTACAAGAATATTATGTTTATGCTTAAAAGTAAGTGCAATTTGTAAGTACATCAATAAAATTCTTTACACTTGTTTCCACACCACCTTTGAGGTAGAGTTCCCGACGCGTTATTTAGTTTCCCCTGGAAGCCTAAACCAATATTTTTACAAATAAGAACAATTTAAATCAAAATAATAATAAATGTACATTTATCAAAGGCGAGGGGTAGTGAATTTTCACAATCTGCATATTTGGTCTGAAGAAAATCCTCATGAAATTCGGACAAGATCTTTTCATCACGAATTTTCTGTGAACGTGTGGCTCGGAATAATTCGCAATAAAGTTTGTGCCACCCCATCTAAATTCCCAGTCATTTCTAAACTTTCTAGAAAACCATCTATTTGAATTATTTATTAGAGGATGTTCCATTAATATATGACAAAATAGCTGGATACAATGGATAGTATACTCCTGCGTATTTTGGGAGAATAATATAAGAATGGCTTAATAAAAGTTAGATGGGGTGGTGGATAGGTAGAAGACAAAATGCCAATCTCAACCATAATGGCGCAGATGGTCCAGTGTCTTGGCCAACCAGATTGCCATATCTAAACCCCCTGGACTTCTAAGTTTGGGGTTATCTGAAAAGTAAAGTTTACTCCAACATATACAAGACCACAACTACTGTAACGAATAGAAGACGGGTGTAATGAATTAAAAGAAAACCACACATAATATATTAGCTTCAATTAGTTCCATTAATAGAAGATGCCAGAAATGTATCGATGTGGGTGTTCGCACTTTGAACAATTGTTGTAAATACGTAACGTTAATTTTGTTTCTTGTTTAGTTGCTGTTGCTTGGTAAATATATTTTTATTATTTTTATATAAATTATTCTTATTTGTAAAGATAGTAGATTAGGCCTCTAGGAGAAACTAAAACGCACCAGGAAAACTACTTCAGATGGTGTAAAAAGGAGTGTATAGAATTTTGTTGATGTGCTTACAAATTGCACTTACTTTTAAGCATAAACATAAACATTCTTGTAATATTATGGTTAGAAAGTGTCTGCCACAATGGGATTGTATTGGTATAAATAACTTGACAACGGCGAATCTTAGGGAAGAAATTCAAGTTACCTTTTTTACGTATTTTGTGCATTAGAATATAAATCAGTTACAATAACTTGTAAAAAATGGAGTGGCGTAGGTTTTTTTGTAAAAAAGGGGGTGACCACTGTCCAGTTGTACACCACTGGTTGAACCTTTAGAGCTCATATTTTAGAGAATGTAAGGCCTACTATTGTACATTATCTGTACTAAATTTCAACCCCCTGTATCTCTAAAGCGGGGCCGTTCCAGACCTATATGTTTATAAGGCAAATACCTATTATTTTAAAGAGAGCTATCTGTGCTTCGAAGTTTCCTGCATAAAATTCGGACCACCCTGTATAATATATAATATTTCACCCTTGAAGCTTGAATTTTTTTTATACAGAATTGATTTCCAAAAGAAATGTAGGTTCTCTTTCCTGAAAAACTTATTCACCACTGGCAATTATTTTTGCTAGTTTTAGAAATTTTATTGAAAAAAATGATTATTTTATATAATGTATCCTTATTAGATAAATTTACATTTTTAATTGGTTTTATAAAATTTGTTCAAAATGACGAACGGATATTTTCAGGGATATATGAAAAAAATTTTACAATCTGTATTTCTAAAGGTGATGGTTTTAAAGACAAGTGCTTATACAAAAAAAAAACATTGTTAAATTTGGATAAAGAAAAGCTTCATTTTTTGACACGTTTTTATCCATGGTCCTTAGAATTGGTTATTGCTCCAAAAGACCCCACACAATCCTTATGGAATGTGGCTTTCGGCAAATTTTTTTGAAATTTTGCCGTGATAGTTCCGATTGCATGGATAAAAAATCTCAATGGTAATAAAGTCTAAAAGTCCTTTGTTTTGGACCTACAGCCCCTGAAAGTTGATTTTTTTTTTCTCCTTACGCTGCATAGTAAGAATACAGCAATGAACCTTTTTTGTAAAATTACATTAAATTAATGGTAAATGGACCTTGCCTGATCGATTAGAGATGTTTTCAACTTCCGGTTCCGACCGGAAGTAGCCTTTCACGGGAATCAGGTCAACTTCATAGATTATTTAGAGTTCAAAAAAGGCATTTTAGAAAAAAATAAAAGTTTCACAATTTTCGGTGTTGAATCGAAATGCGTAATAAAAAAATGTACTATTTTATTTGACAAAACTGACTTCCAGCCGGAATAGGCTACTTCCGGTTGGAATCAGAAGTTGAAAACATGTCTACTCGATCGGGCAAGGTCCATTTACTATAAATGTAATGTAATTTTACAAAAAAGAATCACTGCTGTATTCTTAGTAAGTAAAGCAAGGGGAAAGAAATTCAACTTGCAGGAGCCGTTATGTGCAAAACAAAGACACTTTGTGCCCAATGAAGCTTTTTAATTCACGTGATCAGAACTATCACATTGCAGATTTAAAAAAAATTGCCGAAAGCCACTTACCACAAGAATTGTGCAAGGTCCTTTAATTAAAAAGGATTACTTGACATAACACAACATAAAAAAAACATCTGTTTTATTCACAATAGAGATATAAAGTAAAAAATAAGGCACTTAAAAAAACAGCTAAATATTACTAAAGAAAAAGTATTATAAATATTCCCTAAACCTTTTCCATGTTCAGTACCAGGTAATAACTCTTTCTGACAAACATGGAAGTACAAAAGTATATAGGTAATAAAATAAGCAACATCAAATCTCAACAATGTTTCACATTTCTTAATAAAACTTTAATATTATAATTATACCGGTTACAGGTGTTATTACCAAAAAAATTTATCCATTCTTGGAATATGGAGTTACGATGGGCCTCTTAAATAGTAATATGTGAGGTTCTGAAACAAAAACAAAATAATTGGAATGGATTATTTACACAATAGGCTATAAAACGAAAAAATGGGAAAAAAGGTTGTATGTTTTGTTTTGTTGTATTACAAAAATGTTAGTACACACTTGCAAGTTGAAGTTGATCCAAACCTTAAAAAATTATTCATTTAAATATAAACATGGAATAATTCCAATAATACTAAGCTATCGATGTGATTAATCACAACAGAAAATTTAAATCAATTTATGTTAGTAACTATTTTATAGTGATTGGATTATCATTTCAAAAAAAGTTTTCTCAAAATATACACCAACAAAAAAATATATTGCAAAAAAAACGTTCAGAATATTCTAATGTTATATTAATATCGGCTAACTCAAAAACAAACCCTCCCTAACTTTCAGTGAAATATTTCACAAACTATATAACAGTTATTGTAAGCAAAAATTGTAAAAATAGTTATTTGGTAGACCATAACTTTACGAAGCAAAAACTTTTAAAACAGTTTATTTTCATTCTTGAAGTTTCGTAGCTTCTTTTCTGGACCCAGTATGTTTCAACTACTTACATTCGCAGTACTTATGTTGTACTCTTACTGGAACGATACCAGATTGTAACTGTTTATATTACTATTTTTTTAAAGTACTTTTTACATAAATAATAAAATAAATATAATGCTCACCTGGTGAATGGGTCATGTAATGTACCCAGCCTTTACTTTGTTGAACCCCGATTCCTCTCCATTCTTCTTCGGACATCAGATGACTTTTAGGAACATATTTAACCATTTCCCGAGGTAAAACGACGTGTCTGTTTAAAAAAAAGTACAACGGTAAAATATAATATGAACATATCTAATTTTTAACTATCATATAATTACAAGTTGACATCAACGAGCTAGTCATTTTTTAGGTCGTCCGTTAACATATTATAATACTTTGGCAAGAGAATATACTGTGCTAAATTTTTTACCTGTATTCGTATCGATCGTCGCGGTATTTGTCTGAATAATAAATATTACGCTGCATTTCTTCAGTCTGATGTAGATGTACACTTAATGATATATTGGATCAACTGACAATATTTAAAATTAAAAATATAACACACATTAATATCACATCAACACATTTTTGTTAAATAACGACAAATGTCGTTTTTTCCAAAAATCAAATTTGATTGCCGCTGCCAACATAATAAAAACAAAGTACCTAACTAATTTTTAACAATTTTAACCACATTTTGATGGAGAGGGAGGAACTATGAGGCCGTTCTGAACCATAGATCTCTAGATAAATGGAGGAATAACCCAACCGAACACATTCAAATAATTTAAGTCAAATGTTCTTAAGATGGAAAGTAGTTTTCTTCTATACAGTATTTTCAATACTGTAATTATATTGGATAAATATTGTTAAATTAGTTTTAAGTCGGTACCATGTCTGCAATGAATTGTTAAAAAAAAATTTATTTGGAACGCAACCCCAAACATAATAATATAGTTATTTTATCTTTATCATGTTGTCACTAAAGTTTTGTTTAAAAAAAACGGCATTTTCGTTAAGTTTTAAGTTGATTGGAGAATGCTATAAAACTTTTTAACTGTTGTTTATAGTAAATCGTGTATATATATCAAGCCCACATGAATCGTGAAGAAATGCAACGTAATATTTATTATTCAGACAAATACTATGACGATGAATATGAATATAGGTAAACCATTAATGAAAATGTTAACTTCAGTTTGAAAACTAACAATTTTTCTATTACTTATATGATGCAAATTACCATTAGATTCTACAGTATTTTTCTTACTACAGGCACGTTGTTCTACCTCGAGAAATGGTTAAATTAGTTCCTAAAACGCATCTAATGTCTGAAGAAGAATGGAGAGGGATCGGAGTACAGCAAAGTAAAGGATGGGTGCATTATATGACACATTCTCCAGGTAGGTTTAATGTTTGCTGTCTATCATTAATATAATAGAAGAACAATCTTTAAAGGTTATATCTACTATAAAAGTTGAAAGTTTGAAAATTGCTCTTGGTGCTCAGTACCAAATTAAAGAAAGAGAGAAGCTTTATGATGTACTGTGACTTGTGACCAAGACATCTGCATTTCCTACCAGGTTTTATAAAAATTACATTGCCCATATCTTGTCCATTATTTCAAAAATTTTAAAGTGACCACAAGAATTGTTACATTTGCTCACAATTAAGAAAGAAAAAATATTATTGACAACTGTAAATAATTATTTTAATTGAAATATAGGGAAAAATTGGTAACTTTAAATATTTGATGGTTATTTTTAATGCGACCGGTTACTTTTGGTCAGCGACTGGTCGTTTTAATTATTTTTAGTAAGTGATGGCCATCACCGGTTTAAATTAAACTCTAACAGATTGCGATGAAGAGATTACAAATCATTGCACGACTAAGAAATGTAGATTTAAAAAAAAATTGCACTTTGCTTTGTAACCTCATTAGGAAAATGTCAAACTTAATTCGCACAAATGACACAATTCTTAATTAATTAATTTATTTATAATAAAATATCCTACAGATTTTAGATCTGATTGTTGAATAAATTTTAAAACAGTATTTTTATAAATTGTAATTATCTGCCAGATATAACACTACACATAAAGAATATGATGTACAAGGTGTTTTCTATCATTTATGTTTAAATTCTAGGAGCATAAAGTACACTTAGTTCTAAATTTAAAATACCCAAAAATGTTAGATCGAATGGTTGGTCGGTGGCAGAGCGATTCGAGATATCTATACTTGAATCGATGAATGCCACTACCGCAGGTTTCATTCCTGCGGTCGTAAGACCTTAGATCAGGTATATTTGTTGAGGAGAATTAGACACCCTCTCTGTACACTTGTAACATTACAAGCAATACTACTCCAAAAAAATACTGTTACTGTAATAACATCGTTGAGCCAGCCTGACAGTGTATATTTCTTCTGACTTGTTGGTCCTACAATTGCAATTTTCCATTTCAATGAAATACCATTACACAAATATGGTCTATTTACAATAAGTTTGCATTTATGTCACATTTCGTAATTAAGTGCAACTGATAGAATAACTAAATTCCTGTTCCATATGTATTAACTCTTGTCAGACTAAAAATTTTTATTGTTTATTGCACTTTGTACTGAATTAAAATCATTACAATTAATCAACCTACAGTTGACAACCATTTCACGTTTGCGTTACTTTTGATAACAGTTCCGTGAGATTATTGAGTATTGAAACGGATTGAAAGTGTATAAAAAGTTCTTTTTCGAACTAGTAAATTAACATAGTGAAGAGCAAAGCATTAACATGCTGACACACCTTTATCGAGTCGTGCTCAAGAAATGGTGGGATTCTTAATAGACCATTTTGAACAGGACCAGGAAAATGTAGACCTACTTTTTCCACTTACCGCTGTAAGTTGTAATGTTACATCAATTATGAACTGTATATTTTGACTTTCCTAAATCATTTAAATTGTCTACTTAATCTGTGGTTCTACGTTACATTTCTAATAAACTGGATTTACTATAAAAAAATAATTTTTGTAAATATCCAGAAAAAATTTACAACTTGGCAACCCTGTTCCATTTCGCGCTGTGACGTCATTTCAAATTTATTGTAAATGGATTATACCGAGGCATAACTAATATAACTCTCAATTGTATAAGACAGATATCCTGCTTTTATCCATGAAAACGGCACTGTATACTTTTGATTCATAAAGCTTTTTTTATTTTTTTTTAAATAAAATAAACAAACTTCTTTTTCATTTAAAATAACTGCTCTTGCGTTATACTAAAAGACAGTATAGACATCTATTATAATAAAGTTTAAAACTTTAGTCTACAAATGAATATTCTTTTTGTTACTCATGACGGATAAGTCCTATCTTTTTGCATGTTTTTTAGGTCGGTAACTAGCTGTTTGCCCACTATTTATTTGCGTGTGGTAATATTACTTGTCGCACGGGAATTGCGAATAAAACATGCAAAATTTAAATACTTACTCGGAAATATTAGTTTTAAAAAGCGACATATAAATGTCAGTTATTTATGTCGCCCTGCACTCTAAGATTTCATTGCATTCGTAATAAAAAATAGTATGTGCAAATCTTGCGGTTGTCTATTGCCCACTTGAGCAGATAAGCTCAACTCCGCTCTCGTGGGCAATAGACAACTTACCGCACTTATTGCACAATATACTATTGTATATATTTTTTAGTTTGTAATATTAATAATTAATTTTTAGAGCCCCACATTTTGCTGTTTAAAAGGCCTATTACAACCCCACCACCCAAGGATGAATAGTTGTAATTAATGTAATTCCTGTATAGAATTTTTACTGAAGTATTTAGTTTTTATGGAATTGCAGAAACATTTCTAGTAACAATTGATGTCAAATTTTAGTCTAATCAGAATTTAGTAGTTCCTAAAATTTGAATGTGTCACTTGAAGTAGGGAGATGTTTTTGTAGTTTATTTTTAGGAAAATAAAGGCTGTAATAAGATAGGTTTGTAATAATTTTTGCTTTTGATGAAAATATTACAATATGGTAATTAACATTATAAGTACCTAATTATTTTTATACCTGTTTTTATGAATAAAAATTGTACTGTTATTTGTTACTGTTTTTTTTTTTCAGTCTAATACTAGTTGCACCAAAAAAATATTGAATTGTTGCAGGAAAAAAATATTTATGGTAAAATTCTTATGAAAAAATTTGATCCGAAGTTTATATAACTTAAGAAAATTAGCACTATTTTTGTGTTAATAACAAAAAAATTTCCTAAAAGTATTACAATAAATTTTGAGGGATTGTTTATCGTGAAAAATTGTGTACATTATTATTTTTCAAAGTATTGTCCATCGGTAGTCACTACATTTTTGATGCTATGCACCAATTGATCAAATTTTTTGTACCATCGTTAAGTTTGAAAGAGCTGCTCAGCTAGGCCGTGTTCCATGGATCGGAACAAGTAGTAATCCGATGGAGTAATATCTGGTGAATATAGTGGTGGAATAAAACATCCCATTTTTTGATTTCATGAGCAACATGTGGCCCTGCCTTTGCTCGAATTGCGTCCATTTTCAATGCATGGGTCACATGCATCAATTGTATTTGGTAACGTTCACCAGTGATGGCTTAATTCGGTTGAAGCAGCTCATAGTACACAACACCAAGCTAGTCCCACCAGGCAAACCCCACAATTTCTTATGATTAGGATTATCGTAGTGCAGCCATATTCAAATTGTGTTCCGCGGAACCCTGGGGTTCCCTACAACCTCTCTGGGGGTGCCGCAACTCGATCAAAAATTTAAAATTTTGATATTAACATTATTGATAATACAAAATTCAAAAAAATGTATACAAAACTAGTATCTATAAATACAGGGTGTCCCGTTCATGTTTCAAAAAAATTGTATGTAATTTCCTCATGGGAAAATAATAGGGGTAGTTCATGTAACGTTTTTTTCTTAGATGCCCTGTTTTTGAGATACAATGTGTTGAAGTTGTCATTTTCCAAATGGTTCTCCTTAATTATCTTTAAATCGGCAAAAGATAAAAATATCAAAATTTGTACACAAGTAAACATCAATTGTGCGTTAAGAATAATGCACAAACGGTTTCTTCTGAAAAACATTGCCACCGATACAGGTAATTGGAGGGGTACAATCGAAAAAAAAAAGTTAAAAGTCAAAATTGATTAAATTTCTAAACAGTTCTGTAAACTCTAAAGCATACTATAAAAAAAAGGTATACTTACTTGTCGAAATTCGGTAACATGTACCATTTTCGAGAAAAATGAAATTGCATAGAAGCAAATGGGGGACAATTTCAGCATCTACTGTAGTATTTTGAGTTTTGCTCATTTATTTAATTGTGCAGCCGTTTTGTTCTGTATGTCTCCGAGTCTGTTTCGTAATATTTCTCTGTTCTTATCACTTTTTTAAACATTCATGTCCATCAACAATTCAGTTCGACAAGTAAGTATACCTTTTTTGTAGTATGCTTTCGAGTTTACAGGAAAGTTTAGAAATGTAATAAATTTTGACTTTTAACATATTTTTTTTTCGATTGTACCCCTCCAATTACCTGCATCCGCGACACTGCTTTTCAGAAAGAAACCGTTTGCACATTATTCTTAATGCACAGTTGATGTTTACTCGTGTACAAATTTTGACATTTTTATCTCTAGCCGATTTAAAGATAATTAAGGAAAACCATTGGAAACTAACATCAACACGGGCGTCTAAGAAAAAAACTTTACATGAAATACCCCTATTATTTTTCCATGAGGAACTTGCAACACAAGTTTTTTTGAAACATGAACGGGACACCCTGTATACTATATAATCAGTAAAAAATGTGTTGTACAATTTTTTTATGTGTAAGGGTTCCTTAAAAAAAATCAAAATGTTGGCTGGGTTCCGCAAGTCATAAAAGTTTGAAGACCGCTGTACTTAGCGTATCCATTTCTAATGCCACTGACAATACGACACAAAAAGCCCTTCCTTTTTTAACCTTGAAGTAATTTTTCACACGTGAAAAATCGCTGTTCAACATCTTTCAGCTTCAATTTCCTTGCTTTTGAATGATATGAGTGCATTGGAAACTATTGTGCGATCAACATTCAACAATTCAGCAAGTTCATCTTGCATTTGACATGAATCTTGGTCGAGTAAAGCTTCCATCCTCATCTTCAAAGTTTTTCGGTTGACCATGGCGGTCTTGTCAACTGTATTGAAATCACCACTTCTAAAACGTCGAAACCAATACACGATTTTATCAAAGGAATATGTTCACCGTAAGTATCCAACAGCACTCGATGCTTTAGCAGCACTTTTTTTAATTAAACAGGAAAAGTAAAACGTTCTGCAAATGGTGTTTTGTTGGCTCCTAATTCGACATTTTCAGAACCGAGATAAAATAAGTCTTTCCGATATCAATAGAAGAACCACGAGATTGACTGTATGTACCAGGTTCAGTCGCTGACGCAGCAACTCGGCATAGAAATATTTGAAAAATTTGTTCTCATATTTATTTAGCCATACCCATATACAGGTCTGGTCGAACTAAACATGGAGGTGGTAGAAATGTATACGCCCACTTGAAGAATGCGAGCGCGGGCAAAGGAAAACAAGCACAGCTGCATTGTGCTACTGGGCAATAAATCTCAGCAGTTGACAAGTGGTTGATAAATTGCCCAGCAGTGCAGTGCACAATGCGGAATTTGGTGTGATTCAGGTAATTTAAATTTATTATAGGCACCTTCTATTAATCATTCATATTACAATTGCGGATAGAAGAAATAAGAGGGATATTTTGTTTACTAATATTATCACAACACGGCATTTTGGAGACATTTTGAAACGGATTAAAACGAAATTTACCAGCAATATAATAAAATTGTTTGAGGATATAAATAATTAAAATATGATGTTGGCCAAATGAACATATAATAGAAATTTTCTACACATAATATACAAATTATTATAATTGTTTACCTTTAGCAGAAAAATTTTTTAGGGACAGCTATGAAACTCATTAAATTTTATTGTCAGGCGTTTCTTTGCATGTTCAACTGACTTAGGAAAGACTATAACAGAGGTTTGGACATGAATATACTTACAGAAGTGTCCGATGCGATATAGCATAAGTTACGCCATCTATTGTAAATCCTTCAAAATTAATTCATACTCCTAGTATATTTATAATTCTTTTTTTTTTTACATAAATAAAATACTTGGTGGTCTTGAATAAAATTATATTTACATATACAAAGTAAAAACATAAAGCCAATTTTATCTCCTATATCTATATCTTTTAAAGTGAAACCATAACTGAAATATATTGTTATGGAACTGACACCTAAATCCTCTCTTGTAGGAATATTCCCATTCCCTGTTCACTATCTTGAAGGCTATGTCTTCATACGGAGGGCCAGCATGGAATCGCAAGATGGCAAACTCCTTGTTCTCTGGACATGGAGTCTAATAAATTTAAATAGATCGTTAATAACCAAAGCTTTATGTTAAAAAAATTTAAGTTTTCAGTTGAAAACTGGAGAATACATTTTTTATTCTTAATTATTTTGGGAAGAACATTTCTTTATAAAAAAATTTCAATTGTCTCCTCCACCGTAATAATCACATTACAACAAATAATGTTATGTACAGTTGTTAGATAATAAAAAAATATAAAATGTATAGTTGAAGAGCAAAACTGCTTTCTTTTATATAAAAATGTTGATAAAAAATTAGAACAAACTTCAACTTCAAATTTTTGTTTAAATAGCCATTTTTCAAATTGTATGTTATATAAAGGTTTCGATCATTGGAGCGCGTCGCACGGAAGCGAACGGGAGTGCGCCGGAGCGGATTTTTTTAGTATACACTCACTACAGCGTACCGAAACGGCAATATTATTGCATCAACCGATAGGGACTGTTCAGTTCACGCTTAAGTCAATTTAAAATGAAGTCATCCAATGAAGAAGATGCTGTTGTTGTCGCTATTTTGTGTGCATACAGAAAAAGGCACGAAAAAGAAAAGGAAATGTTGGGTACATAACATATGTAAAAAACGTAGAGTTGAAGGTGAGTTCTATATGCTATTTCCCGATCTCATCGATGATGAAATTAAATTTTATCAATATTTCCGGATGTCACATGAAAAATTTATGAATTTGTTGGATATATTAAAGCCAGAAATACGTGGACTAGTCTATATATTAACATACCAGTGGCGGTTTTACCATAAGAGCTGCGGAGCTGCAGAACACACAAAATTTTATGTATTTAATCATATTAAACAAAATATTTAAAGAATCCAAATGTACTCGCGCTAAAATAAATCTAGGAGCTTATATTATTATTTATTGTGACGCGAGCTACGCTCCTTAGTATATGCAACCTCATATACAAAATGTGTGCCCAGCGAACAATTAGATGCGTCCTTTGTTTTTATTGGCTAATCAGGCACGTGACCCAGTACACGAAGATAGGGGCTTTTGTGGCTGCAACAGCGCCAGCCACTGCTGCAGTAAATGCAGTAATATTTCGTATGTGGTATGTGGTGGTTTATTTCGGCACGTGTGAATATTTTCGTTCAAGCGTCTATGGATATTATAGTTATTAAAATGATTAGCGTTTCGTTTAAATAAAAAACTTTATTTGGTTCTCTGCCTTATGAGGATAAACTAAAAATAAAAGAATTAGGTGGGCCAACACCACAATTAAATTTTGAAGTTAGTGGAACAAGCCGAAGTAAAAGTTATAAAGGACAATTTAACAATAATATATACACAAAAGCAGAGTGGGTGTGCGGGAGTGATTTAAAAAATACACTGTTTTGTTTTCCGTGCTTACTTTTCGGTGGGGATAAAGCATGGACAATATACAGTGTAAAAGATTTAAGTCATTAAGTCTTTAGGTAAAATAAACATAAGAAGTCAGTTAGATTCTGCATATTGGGATAATATACGGAAACACAATGAACAGGTAACGAAAAATCGTTATGTATTATCTAAAATCATAGATTGCATAAAATTTTGCGGAGCTTTCGAATTAGCACTTCGCGGACACGACGAGACAGAAAATTCGGACAACCCTGATGTGTTTCGTGGACTCATAAATTTTAGTGCAGATCTTGACGACATATTAAAAGAACATCTAGCCACATGGGTATGACCGGGATTTTCTGTGATTGTACCGGGAATTAGCTGTATGGTCCCGGATTTCGGATTTGCACGTATAACTCCCGGAATATAATATAATGTACATATATATAAAAAAAGATAAAGAAAAAATCATAACACGCCGAGGAAAATTAAAATTCGTTGAATCGTTGGTAAATTTCACAAACGATTTTTTTTTTTAAACAATATTCAATAATTTAATAAAATATATTTAGTTTATTCCAATTTATTTATACCGTCAGTAGGTAATTCGTGAATAGATATTTCAAAAAGGTATCAATTTCAAAAATTCTTGTGAAAATCTGTTTTTTTATAAATGCATTGTTCCTTGAAATTCAGAAGTGTCAGGAAAGCGCGTGACCTTGAAAATTTTAAAATTTTTCGCCTGCGGGCGCCATTTAGAGACTCCGGGCACTTAATATCCCGGAATTCACTTCAACAAATGTAACAACCCTAAGCAGAACACATTCAATCAATGTTCACCCACCGCCACTGTAACATACTATACATATTCATATCAACCAGACTTCGTTTTTTTTTAAGGTATATTTGTCTCTAATCGTAGGAAAATTGCTTATTTTGATCACTTGCTATCGTCCACTAATCGGAAACGGGGATTGAACGGCAGCATACCGCAGCGCGGAAATACTCCTCAGCTAGGATTCTGAGACCGGCTCGCCATTGTGGAGCGCTGCTCTGCGGTTAGTCCAGTTGGCAGCCTGGCAGCAAAACCTTACCAAAGCTGCAAAAATGAAGATAATTGAATTTTGCAAATTGCTTTTGGTTTATGCATATTTACACTATGTGTGTACCAAATTTCAAGTGTCAGCAAAGCTTCGAACAAATTTGGCAAAGTTTCGAGTTTCAGATGCCGATGAATGTATAACACCTTATAGAACAAAAAGTTTTGCTCTCCTGATTTTCGGCTTTAGCGTCATTATTGTATATATATTGAACTATAGTTTTCGAAAGTTTTATTACTTTTTGTTTATAATTGACATTTTTACAGCAATTTTAAAAAATTCACGTTTTATACCGTTTTTTCAATCTCACAGCTTTGTTATTACAAATTTCGTAATCGGACCACCGCCATTTTGTAGCTATTTTTATTACGAACAAAATCATGTCCTAAGCATTTTTTCGTACAAAGTCATCCCGCTGAGTTATTTAAAGAAAACTACTAAAAAAAAAATTGTTCACTATTAAATTGTTAATAACTTTTTCCTGATAAAATATTTTGTCAGCAAATTAGCCTGTTATTGTAGGCCTGTGTAGCAATTTCCGGGTTATCAAGGTTTGATACAGGCCGAACCTCTACCAACTGGACTAGGTATAGTGTGCGCATCTGTATTTAAAGTTGTGTAATATAAAAACTCCTCTTCGGCGCGCTGCCGTTCGCTTCCGTGCGGCGCGCTCTAGTGAGCTACAACCTTAAAACAACTTTGAATAGGTGTCATACGGTGGCTACCTTTGACCTTTAGGATATTCCATCGTAAAAACTTTTTTATTTAGTCCACCTCAATTGTGTGTTAACCTCGAGTGCGTTCCCAATTGGAGACTACAACATGCATTGTTGTAAAATCTCAGATTTCTTAAACTATATAATATACAGACTGTTACAAATTCGCTTCACACTATAGGGATCTCGAAAACGGTAAGAGATACAAAGCAGCTAATTTTTACATGTAACGTTTCGTCTTTCCAGGACCATCATCAACATCATTTTGTTAAATACGACCCCTGGAAGTTTTATTACATTTTTTGCAAGCCGTCATGACCCGCAATGCTGTACTGCCTCAGCCCGAAACAGATTCAAATGTTTTGACCGAAAAATTCATCTTCAGTGTATTCATTTCAAATTTACCTAAATTTTTATTAAAATTTCTATGTTTATTAAATTATCGTACACTGTAAGTGACATTAGACCCTGTGAAATCCATCTAGTATGTTTTTTCATAATATACAGAAATTTAACAATGAAGACATACAAACACTCTACTGTTAGTACTTTTTAAATAGAGTTGTTTACTTACACTACACAAGATACTTCACTAAATACCACATTAAATATTGTAAAAAAAACTAACAAAACAGGAACCATACCGATTCTATTTTGATTCAGTAAAAACTGATACTTCATGGATAGTCAAAAATTACATACCACATTACAAACTCATAAACTAATTCAGATAAAATTAAAATGAAGCGGTAACATATTCGGCTATTCTTGTTTCGTCATATTAATGTCGGTTGTATCCTTTTTGCCCGTCACTATTAATACCACATGAGGTGTATGGATATTATGTACTTCATCTAAATTAGTCAATATAAGAGGTCACTGATGCTCAGATTCACAAAATAAACAAAGTGCTTCAAATAAAAAGTAATAAATTTAATAAGTCTTTTGTTGCTCAAACGTGTCATAATGCCCCGACAATATTTTTTATTGACTGTTTCTCCATCCAAAAGGAATTCTGTGTGGACAATACCACGATAGTCAAAGAAAACAGTCAACATGATTTTGATTTTTGCTCCACTTTGACGTCGTTTTTTTGGTTTCAACTCATTAGAAAAGTGCTATTCCGAAGCTTTGCATGTCAAACTCGTAAACTCATGTCTTGACACATGTTATGATGCATTGCATGAATGTAGAGTCCGAATTAGCTCGTTTAAACATATCTTCAGCAATATGTTTGAGATGATCTTTTTGAAGAAAATTCAGCTCTTTTGGAACCAGCCGTTGCGACCCTTTTCATACCCAAAATATCAACTAAAATGGTGCAAATTGATTCTTAAAATATGTATAGATCATATGCTCTCAAACTGTTTGCAAGCACCATTTCCTTCACTTTATCGAGATTTTCTTCAGTTGAAAACGGTGAAGGATGACCAGAACGTGGCAAAACATTAACCACTTTTCAACCATGTTCGAGTGCTTTGTACCATTCGTATGCTTGAGTTTTCGATAAACCTGAATTACCGTACATTTTCTCAACATTTTCAACGATTCAGCATAAGAATTTCTATTGGTAGCACAAAATTTTAGGCAAACTCTTCAATAACATTATTATTCATAGTAAAAATCGTGGAACACATTTTAGCTGGACTAACAAAATTAACAGAACGCACACAAGCTTTGCGTCAGAGTACAGTATTACCAACTTTCCATAAAAAAAAAAAAATTAAATTAAATCTACTCTGTGCGGAATTTTTAATTAACAAATTCCATATATTTTTTTGACAGAATGTAAAATTGTTACAGAGTATTTGAAAAAGGTTACGACTGTGTGTCAGATAACACTGAATAAGTTTTTAATATTTCGAATATAAATTAAAAATAGAATTATCAATATGACGATCGATTTGAGAATTGTTCCTATTTTTTTAATTGCAACATGCCTTAAAAAATTATTTTTCTTTTTTAAATAAAAAATAAAGCCACTTTGTTCTTCAACTGTTTCATATTGTTTAAAAAAAAACAAAATTTTGTCCTCTCCAGGTAATGATGGACACACTATAATATACTTACCAAAAAATATTCTGGTGTGCTATTCTTATCGATCAGATCCGGATAAAATATGTTGAACTTGTAACCCTGTACGATTTTCGGAGGAGGATTATCCATATCGTAATGGGTCTGATTGTATTTGTTCCACTCGAAACCTGTGTGGACCCTGTTGAAGTAGCGGGGTTTTCTAGGTCGGTATTTGTCCGACCACAGGTAGACCTGATTGTCCAGTGTTTGTTCTACTGAAAACTGAGCTTCGTCTGCGTCCATTCCTTTTCTTGCTTCCTTTTGTAAGAGCAGCTCTTCTTTGGTTATTACATTCTGGAAATAACAATTAGTTACTGAAAATATTGAAGATCACTTAATATTTTAATGCCATTCAATGGTTTTCATAATTTGGCTTGCATTCATGACTCCCTAAAATTTAATACTGACCTCTACCTTTTTCCCACTATCTACAACCTGCATTCTTGCAAATTCTAGACGTTTAACATCATCTTCTTCAGTAACTACGATGGTTCCAGGTTCGATATCATCGGGGTTTAAGAACTTAGGGCTGTATCCACCAGCTTGGTAGGCATTGAAGCATTCATTTAACATATCATTAGCGACATCTTCTTCGTTTCTAAAAATATTAAAATAACATCTTTTATTTCACGACTTTTCTCTGAAAAATTTAACAAGAAATATCTTGTACTTTGTTTGGCCTCGTTTATGGCATAATTTCTAAACTATTGCACTCACCCTTCATTTTCGCTGACATGATCATCTTCCATTGAGGTTCCCGGTTTAGGTTCAACAGATGTTTCTCCTACAGCATTTGCATGAATCTCGTTAGGTTGAGGCAACGTAACAGCTTGCTCTGCTTTTAATACCTGGAGTTTTCTTCTGAGGCTCTCTTGATGTCTATCTCTTAGTCGTGCTCTGGCCATATGGGCTAAAAACCAAAATCACAAATCAAATCACAAAAAAACACCACATTATTTATTTATAGTCTTAATTTGGGATATACTGGGTGTTAACTAAATATATCGACAAACTTTGAGGGGTGTTTGAATGATTTTAAAATACCACAGATTGTTGAAATGGCTAAAAATTCACTGAATTCACTAAAACCTTACAAACTCGACATCAGTGAATATTTTTAAAATTCGATCACTGCTCATCATAACTCCATATCATGTTTCCAATAAAAAAAGATATCTTTTTTATTTTATTGCAGCACCAAACAATTTTCGATTTATTACTTTTTTTTAATGTTACCGAGAGCACCTCATTAAGCCTAATATAACTTCAATCCTTTAACGATAAATTTCATACCATTTTAAATACTATATGATAATAAATTTAAATCAGTTGAGTACTTAGCCACTTCAGGTGTGCCTCAGCAAGGGTCCAATACTCGGACCCTTGCTTTTGGTTATTTTTCAGATGATCTAAAGAAATTTAAATCTATGCATACTATTGACGTCTGCATTCAGCTTCAAAATAATCTAAACACGGTTAAGGGTTGGTGTGATAAAAATAAACTAATGTTGAATACAAGCAAGTGTAATGTTATGGTTTTTTCTAATAAATTAACTTGTGTAACGTTTGATTATAGTCGCTGCCGCGACTAAGAGTCTTTGGTGACACTACTTTGAAAATTAAAATAATTACGAGTGACTTTTAGAAATTAAAATATCGATTTGAAATTTTCAGAATCGAGATTTTTTTCAACCTAGAAAATTTTTTTTTTGCATTTTTATATAATCTTTTTGGTTTAAAATCTCTTAAAGAATCGCCTCTTAAAGTGTGTCAACATTCTTAATTAATACCGTACAATTCAAAGTATTTTTTATCTCGCATAGGCAAACATTATCTCGAGCGTAAACGTAACGGTTTGACATTGTTCATTGTAAAGGAGTCGTTAACAACCGTGACACCAAAATTTGGGGAATTTTCGTTACCAGTACCAATTGTGCAATGTTGGGTTGCCTATGCTCGTCCCCTCGTCACGTAACTTGTAAACATTTATGAAGGCTCTGTAGAATCCTTACATCATAGTTTACAAGGTTTGTTGATGTAAACCTTTTTTCTTATGTTTATGTGAATAATTATAATAAACTTCAAATGCATAGCAGACATTAAAATTTCACGAGAAACAAAAAAATCATTAAAAAATGTGAATGTAAAAAATTATGGAATATTCAAGGATGTGGGGATCCTAAAATATTACATATTCATTCAAATCATTTTATTTTAATCTAAGGAGCTTGTGGTCCAGTGGCATTCCAATTTTGTGGGACACCCGGTATATTGTACAAATCATAGCAAATGCAAATAGTTAACACATTAATTAGATAGAATTCTTTTTATAAGACATTCTAAAAAAAATTTTTTTGAAATCGGTCCAAAAATAAAGAAGCTACAGGCTTGTATCACATTTAGGCGCGACACCCTGTATAGAATGAATGATTTCTTATGCTGAATGGCAACAAAAACTGTAAGTGTTTTTCGAGAAACCTCTTTTTTCAATTCTCCGAAAACATAACTCAAAAAATTTTCAATTAATCGACTTGAAACTTTGTACAGATCTTCCCAATAATATTTTTTTTAATGTTCACTAAATCAACAATTATTAATATTTTTTAATTTCCCTATGATGTTCCCTAGCTTTTAGTGTATATCAGAAATTTTTTGTTTTTTTGACACTGTCGTATTGATATTTCTTTGAAAATTCCCTAAATAACCTTTTTTCCAACTTCTAGAGTGGTGTTACCACTACCCCTTAAAATAAAATAATACCTTTCAGTTGTGACAACAAAGACTCCCAGTATCCAATATCGATTCCATCGGCTTTTCCATTAATTTTGGACTCGATCTGCTTCTGCAGAGCGGCTAATTGTGCCGCTGTCTTGCCCTTGAAAACTGAAGTGACATCTGATGCCACTGCTTGATGAATACCTTCACGTCTGTTTATGCCCATGTCAAAATCATTTTGTTTCTCTATTTTCCTGAGCTTCTGCAACTCGTCCTCCACAATCACTGTAATATCATTCCAATAGTCAAGGTTCTTGCCTCGTTCTAACTCTTTGTAGACTTTAATGTCTTCTACAAGATCCTCAAGGTCTTTTATGTGTAGGCCATTCAGGTAAGTGTATGGCTCGTGCATTTCTACGGCATCGACCTCTTCTTCAGCACTGATGTACTTGGCAAGAAGATCTATTGGCTTAGCTGAAAAACAAAATTATAGCTTGTACGAAAGCAACTATTTCAAAATCCCACAGAGCACAATGTATTACCAATAAAACAGCCCCTAGGCGGTAAATTTATTATCGATTTAAAGCATGTGGCGACGGTGGAAACAAAATAATGTGATGTCGGAAAACCATATTAAAAATCTTTTTCTCGGTGGAAACATTATCACCACGATATGTGTATTCCAAATCTGGAATATTGTCCTAATTTCAAGAAATTCTAGCAATAGAAATTTTACAGATGGCCTATCTATTAAAGAAGAACCGGAGATTTTGCTAAATGCATGAAAATGCATTCACAAAATATACAAAATAAAAATAAATATTGCATCTAAAATAAAAAAACTCAGACTCTAATTGGTACAATTATGGAAACCCAGCCTTGAGCTTCTGAAGGTAAAACTGGAGTAAATCGAAGAAATTAATGCAGTTTTTAAAAATTTTGTATTATAAGATGAGGAATTGGAAGCATTACTCGACCAAGATTCATGTGAAACGCAAGATGAACTTGCTGAATCCTTGAACGTTGATCGCTCAACAGTTTCCAAACGTTTAAATTCGCTCGGTTTGATTCAAAAGCAAGGAAATTGAGTGTCATACGAATTGATGTCAAGAGATGTTGAATGGCGATTTCCATCTATGAGCAATTGCTTCAACAGCAAAAAAAAAAAAAATGTTGGGGTTTGCCTGGTCAACACATCAACATTGACAACAAGGCAGAATATTAATGGTTAGAAGCTCATAATCTATATTTGGTGGGACCTGCTTTGTTATGTACTATGAGTTGCTTCGACCAAATGAAACCATCACTAGTGAACGCACACAATTGAGGTGTTTGAGCCGTGCATTTAAGGAAAAATGGCCACAATTCGAACAAAGGCACGATAAAGTAATTTTTCAAGACGACAACGCTCAACCACATGTTGCTCATGAATCAAAAAAATACTTAGAAATGCTGAAATGAGATGTTTTACCCCACCCACCATATGTACCAGATATAGGATTACAAAGATATGAAAAATTGATTGGTGGACAGTATCAAAAATTGAGTTCCTCTTTCTTCGCGGAATCCATATGTTCCCAGAAAGACGGGAAAAAGTAATAGCTAGCAATATTTTGAAAAACAATAATGTATATAATTTTTCACAAAAAAGTATTGAATTTTCAAAAAAGTCCCTCAAAATTAATTCATACTCCTGGTATATAATTAGTGTATTTTTTTTTATTATTATTAAAATGCTTCCTTATGGCAAGTAAAATCAAAATTATACATCTCCTAATTGAGAAAAAAGCATCCAGGAAAAGGCCGTGTGCTTTTATTCCTCGTTTTAATGCGATGAATTCCATCGATGTATTACTATTGGCCTGTTTAAAAAATTCTAATCTCTTATTGGCTCTACGGAATCCATCACATCAAAATGATGAATAAAAAAACACGGCCAATTTCTGATGCAATTAGCTGGATTATATTTTGGCTTGTACTCCATTCTGCTGAAAATAGACATCGTTCAGGTTTAAAGCAATAATTTCAGTCCAAAAAAAGTTAATTAGGATCATCGATCACTGTAGTGACGACACCAGCTTAAAAAAAAATTGACCTACGACGTCCCTAGCCCAAAAACTGCATCAAACTATCATTCCTTGTAAATGAATTGGTACTTCAACAGTACTCTTGGATTTTCAGAGCCCCACTGCCAGTACGATCAAATTTTTTTATTAAATTGACAATTACTAAGTGAAAAAGTGCTTCATTTAGATAAAAAGCATTTTAAACTTTACAGACAGTTTTCATAACATTTTCACCACTATTATACTGAATTTTCGCGCAATTTTAATGGGCTGTTCGATCATGTATCAATTCATTATTGTTAACGATATGGATTACTGTTGTTAGCTGATACATATGAAAGTTCTAACAACTTTGACAGATCAAACAATAATGCAATATTTAAAATAGTGATTCAATTTTTTTCATCAGTAGCCACAAACCATAAGGAAAATAAAGCTTACATAAGCTGATGTGTGAGAGCTCGCATTGTCCAGGTGTAGAATGACGTATCTTCGACGAATGGTTTCCCTTCTTTTTTTGAAAATTTCTGGCAAACAGATGGTTGTGTACCATTCAGAATTGACCGTCTGACGATGGTACAATTACCACAAGTCCAGTTTGTTTGAAGAAACAGGTGACTATTTGTTTAGAAGTGTTTCGTGCACGAACAACTTACGTTGGATTTGACTTACCTTAAAGGACCCATACAGTCGACTGCTATTTACTTTCGGGCTCATACACATAGATCTATGATTCGTTACCTGTTACAATGCCATAGACGTGTTTTGAAGCACCACAATCATATTTCTGAAGCATTTCTTTCAACTAATCGATATAAGCCTTTTTTGAGCATTTGTCAAATTATGTGGGATTCAATGCGAACAAATTTTTTTGGTGGTTAAATGTTCATGTAATATTGAATGTATACTGGTCTCACTAATGCCCAAAGACGCCTCAATATCGCGATAAGTCACATGATGATTTTGCGATTTCAGCTCACACACACAATCAATTTTTCTGGAACAATCAAATTTGGATGACCTTCACGAAATTCATCAATAAGCAAACCATGGTGATGATTGAATTCCATATACTACCTATATACAACGATTTTTTATTGTGCTTCATACAAAAAGTCGAAATAAGTTAATTAATACACTGTTGTTGAGGTAATCCACGTTTTGTAAAAAATAATAGCACAGAAATATTTATGACTTAGTTCTATTTTTTGGCTATAAATTTTTCAAGTCACTAGAAACAACACAAATAGCGCCTGTATGGTCTGAGTAAGTATACTGACAAAAAGTCAAACTTTATGATAGCAACATCGGTTGTCAGATGGCAGCAACAGGATCATTCATTACCGAAATATAAAAGGAAACCCTCGTATTATAATATTAATATCATGTTTATACATTCACACATTTCACAATGTTTACAATGTTCACACATTTATTTTGCAATATTATTATTTAGGGGCTGCTTAAAACAGTGTGAATATCAAAAATGGAAGTAAGATTTATGTTTGAAATAAGTATCTTCTAATTCCATGCAGATTTGTAGGTAAGTTACATAAAGACAATTAATTGTTTTATTGAATTTCATGCTGCTACGATTACTGTAAAGGATTCTTTTGCATCTGAAATCGGATGTAGTAGCATTTTCATAAGTTCTGATTAGAGAAGCTTAGATATGAAAACAGTTGCAAAAAAACATGTTAACTAAAATTATGTCGAAGGCAACACATTTTAAATACCTCTGCCATCCTGGATTCGTATATGAGACCGCAACCTGGCCTGCTCAAGGTGAAACTGATCTTCCTGTCTCTCCCATTCCTCAAATTGTGCCGCTTCTTTGCTTCTCTGTAACATTTGAGTCTCTTCCTCACGTTTCTGCCTTTCTAACTCCCTTTCAAGTCGCCTCTTTTTTACCTAAATTAATTTTGCTAGTTTCAAAGAAGTTTGTGGTAAAAGTATAGAATATTACCTTTTCCAGTTCCTTTTTATTTTCTTCTTGTTTGAACCTGTTCCTCGTTTCTAATTCCTCAGGGCTAACACCGGTGAGACCTTCTTTAGACAACTTTTTATTCCACACAAAAGTAGATAATAAGTTCCCATCTCCGAAAGGATTGTCACTGTTAGTATAATGTAAATATTCATTATCCCACCCCATTCTTTCTTTTCGTCTACGTTCTTTAGCTTCTTTTTTCATTAACCTTCTCAACCTGTACAAAAGAAATAAAATTGTATCAAGCTATTCAGTGTGGTCTTTGTAAGAAAATATTTTTCTTATATAAAACAAATCTCAAAATGATGTGAACTATATATACAAAATTATTTGATAATTCTGATTTAATATTTTAATGTTTGTATGGATTTTAAAATCTTTTCCCATGATTATATGACCAAAGAATATCTTACCTTTTTTCTTCAGGAGTTTCTGTGGCTTTTATTAATTCCTTTTGTTTTTTTTTAGATTCAGTAATCTTTACTCTTTCCTCCTTTAATTTTTCCAAGAGTTTTATAGAGTTATCCGATGATGAACTTTCACTACTACTGGAACTATCATCTGAATTAGATTCTTTTTTATTTTTGTACTTTTTGTGTTTGCCTTTGGTGCTCTTTATTTTACTAGATTTTTTATGACTGGTATCAGATTCATTGTCAATATGTTTCTGATGTTTTCGATATTTGTCTTCAAATGATTTTGACCTTCGAGAGTTTTTTGTAGATTCTCTATGCTTTCTGTAATCCTCTGAACTTTCTGAACTCGATCGTCTTCGACGTGAGACACTTTTACTTTTGTATTTGGAGGATATATGTGAATTTGACCTAGGTTTGAAATAATTTAGATAAAAAGTTTCCATATATTGTTCACATGTATTCTTTAAACGATACATATAAATACATAAAAGCTAAAATTATTTACCTGTTTTCTTTTGGCATTGTGTGCGCGTAATAAAATGTATTTACACACAAAACGTTTATTGTTCAAAAAATAAGGTTACTTAACTTGACAACAATGACAACTACTGACCAGGGACCGAGAANATGAAGAAGATGCTGTTGTTGTCGCTATTTTGTGTGCATACAGAAAAAGGCACGAAAAAGAAAAGGAAATGTTGGGTACATAACATATGTAAAAAACGTAGAGTTGAAGGTGAGTTCTATATGCTATTTCCCGATCTCATCGATGATGAAATTAAATGTTATCAATATTTCCGGATGTCACATGAAAAATTTATGAATTTGTTGGATATATTAAAGCCAGAAATACGTGGACTAGTCTATATATTAACATACCAGTGGCGGTTTTACCATAAGAGCTGCGGAGCTGCAGAACACACAAAATTTTATGTATTTAATCATATTAAACAAAATATTTAAAGAATCCAAATGTACTCGCGCTAAAATAAATCTAGGAGCTTATATTATTATTTATTGTGACGCGAGCTACGCTCCTTAGTATATGCAACCTCATATACAAAATGTGTGCCCAGCGAACAATTAGATGCGTCCTTTGTTTTTATTGGCTAATCAGGCACGTGACCCAGTACACGAAGATAGGGGCTTTTGTGGCTGCAACAGCGCCAGCCACTGCTGCAGTAAATGCAGTAATATTTCGTACGTCGTACGTGGTATGTGGTGGTTTATTTCTGCGAGCGGCACGTGTGAATATTTTCGTTTAGGCATCTATGGAAATTATAGTTATTAAAATGAATAGCGTATCGTTTAAATAAAAAACTTTACTTGGTTCTCTGCCTTATGAGGATAAACTAAAAATAAAAGAATTAGGTGGGCCAACACCACAATTAAATTTTGAAGTTAGTGGAACAAGCCGAAGTAAAAGTTATAAAGGACAATTTAACAATAATATATAAGCAAAAGCAGAGTGGGTGTGCGGGAGTGTTTTAAAAAATACACTGTTTTGTATTCCGTGCTTACTTTTTGGTGGGGATAAAGCATGGACAATATACAGTGTGAAAGATTTAAGTCATTAAGTCTTTAGGTAAAATAAACATAAAAAGTCATTTAGATTCTGCATATTGGGATAATATACGGAAACACAATGAACAGGTAACGAAAAATCGTTATGTATTATCTAAAATCATAGATTGCATAAAATTTTGAGGAGCTTTCGAATTAGCACTTCGGGGACACGAGGAGACAGAAAATTCGGACAACCCTGATGTGTTTCGTGGACTCATAAATTTTAGTGCAGATCTTGACGACATATTAAAAGAACATCTAGCCACATGGGTATGACCGGGATTTTCTGTGATTGTACCGGGAATTAGCTGTATGGTCCCGGATTTCGGATTTGCACGTATAACTCNAGCTCATAATCTATATTTGGTGGGACCTGCTTTGTTATGTACTATGAGTTGCTTCGACCAAATGAAACCATCACTAGTGAACGCACACAATTGAGGTGTTTGAGCCGTGCATTTAAGGAAAAATGGCCACAATTCGAACAAAGGCACGATAAAGTAATTTTTCAAGACGACAACGCTCAACCACATGTTGCTCATGAATCAAAAAAATACTTAGAAATGCTGAAATGAGATGTTTTACCCCACCCACCATATGTACCAGATATAGGATTACAAAGATATGAAAAATTGATTGGTGGACAGTATCAAAAATTGAGTTCCTCTTTCTTCGCGGAATCCATATGTTCCCAGAAAGACGGGAAAAAGTAATAGCTAGCAATATTTTGAAAAACAATAATGTATATAATTTTTCACAAAAAAGTATTGAATTTTCAAAAAAGTCCCTCAAAATTAATTCATACTCCTGGTATATAATTAGTGTATTTTTTTTATTATTATTAAAATGCTTCCTTATGGCAAGTAAAATCAAAATTATACATCTCCTAATTGAGAAAAAAGCATCCAGGAAAAGGCCGTGTGCTTTTATTCCTCGTTTTAATGCGATGAATTCCATCGATGTATTACTATTGGCCTGTTTAAAAAATTCTAATCTCTTATTGGCTCTACGGAATCCATCACATCAAAATGATGAATAAAAAAACACGGCCAATTTCTGATGCAATTAGCTGGATTATATTTTGGCTTGTACTCCATTCTGCTGAAAATAGACATCGTTCAGGTTTAAAGCAATAATTTCAGTCCAAAAAAAGTTAATTAGGATCATCGATCACTGTAGTGACGACACCAGCTTAAAAAAAAATTGACCTACGACGTCCCTAGCCCAAAAACTGCATCAAACTATCATTCCTTGTAAATGAATTGGTACTTCAACAGTACTCTTGGATTTTCAGAGCCCCACTGCCAGTACGATCAAATTTTTTTATTAAATTGACAATTACTAAGTGAAAAAGTGCTTCATTTAGATAAAAAGCATTTTAAACTTTACAGACAGTTTTCATAACATTTTCACCACTATTATACTGAATTTTCGCGCAATTTTAATGGGCTGTTCGATCATGTATCGATTCATTATTGTTAACGATATGGATTACTGTTGTTAGCTGATACATATGAAAGTTCTAACAACTTTGACAGATCAAACAATAATGCAATATTTAAAATAGTGATTCAATTTTTTTCACCGATCAGTAGCCACAAACCATAAGGAAAATAAAGCTTACATAAGCTGATGTGTGAGAGCTCGCATTGTCCAGGTGTAGAATGACGTATCTTCGACGAATGGTTTCCCTTCTTTTTTTAAAAATTTCTGGCAAACAGATGGTTGTGTACCATTCAGAATTGACCGTCTGACGATGGTACAATTACCACAAGTCCAGTTTATTTGAAGAAACAGGTGACTATTTGTTTAGAAGTGTTTCGTGCACGAACAACTTACGTTGGATTTGACTTACCTTAAAGGACCCATACAGTCGACTGCTATTTACTTTCGGGCTCATACACATAGATCTATGATTCGTTACCTGTTACAATGCCATAGACGTGTTTTGAAGCACCACAATCATATTTCTGAAGCATTTCTTTCAACTAATCGATATAAGCCTTTTTTGAGCATTTGTCAAATTATGTGGGATTCAATGCAAACAAATTTTTTTGGTGGTTAAATGTTCATGTAATATTGAATGTATACTGGTCTCACTAATGCCCAAAGACGCCTCAATATCGCGATAAGTCACATGATGATTTTGCGATTTCAGCTCACACACACAATCAATTTTTCTGGAACAATCAAATTTGGATGACCTTCATGAAATTCATCAATAAGCAAACCATGGTGATGATTGAATTCCATATACTACCTATATACAACGATTTTTTATTGTGCTTCATACAAAAAGTCGAAATAAGTTAATTAATACACTGTTGTTGAGGTAATCCACGTTTTGTAAAAAATAATAGCACAGAAATATTTATGACTTAGTTCTATTTTTTGGCTATAAATTTTTCAAGTCACTAGAAACAACACAAATAGCGCCTGTATGGTCTGAGTAAGTATACTGACAAAAAGTCAAACTTTATGATAGCAACATCGGTTGTCAGATGGCAGCAACAGGATCATTCATTACCGAAATATAAAAGGAAACCCTCGTATTATAATATTAATATCATGTTTATACATTCACACATTTCACAATGTTTACAATGTTCACACATTTATTTTGCAATATTATTATTTAGGGGCTGCTTAAAACAGTGTGAATATCAAAAATGGAAGTAAGATTTATGTTTGAAATAAGTATCTTCTAATTCCATGCAGATTTGTAAGTAAGTTACATAAAGACAATTAATTGTTTTATTGAATTTCATGCTGCTACGATTACTGTAAAGGATTCTTTTGCATCTGAAATCGGATGTAGTAGCATTTTCATAAGTTCTGATTAAAGAAGCTTAGATATGAAAACAGTTGCAAAAAAACATGTTAACTAAAATTATGTCGAAGGCAACACATTTTAAATACCTCTGCCATCCTGGATTCGTATATGAGACCGCAACCTGGCCTGCTCAAGGTGAAACTGATCTTCCTGTCTCTCCCATTCCTCAAATTGTGCCGCTTCTTTGCTTCTCTGTAACATTTGAGTCTCTTCCTCACGTTTCTGCCTTTCTAACTCCCTTTCAAGTCGCCTCTTTTTTACCTAAATTAATTTTGCTAGTTTCAAAGAAGTTTGTGGTAAAAGTATAGAATATTACCTTTTCCAGTTCCTTTTTATTTTCTTCTTGTTTGAACCTGTTCCTCGTTTCTAATTCCTCAGGGCTAACACCGGTGAGACCTTCTTTAGACAACTTTTTATTCCACACAAAAGTAGATAATAAGTTCCCATCTCCGAAAGGATTGTCACTGTTAGTATAATGTAAATATTCATTATCCCACCCCATTCTTTCTTTTCGTCTACGTTCTTTAGCTTCTTTTTTCATTAACCTTCTCAACCTGTACAAAAGAAATAAAATTGTATCAAGCTATTCAGTGTGGTCTTTGTAAGAAAATATTTTTCTTATATAAAACAAATCTCAAAATGATGTGAACTATATATACAAAATTATTTGATAATTCTGATTTAATATTTTAATGTTTGTATGGATTTTAAAATCTTTTCCCATGATTATATGACCAAAGAATATCTTACCTTTTTTCTTCAGGAGTTTCTGTGGCTTTTATTAATTCCTTTTGTTTTTTTTTAGATTCAGTAATCTTTACTCTTTCCTCCTTTAATTTTTCCAAGAGTTTTATAGAGTTATCCGATGATGAACTTTCACTACTACTGGAACTATCATCTGAATTAGATTCTTTTTTATTTTTGTACTTTTTGTGTTTGCCTTTGGTGCTCTTTATTTTACTAGATTTTTTATGACTGGTATCAGATTCATTGTCAATATATTTCTGATGTTTTCGATATTTGTCTTCAAATGATTTTGACCTTCGAGAGTTTTTTGTAGATTCTCTATGCTTTCTGTAATCCTCTGAACTTTCTGAACTCGATCGTCTTCGACGTGAGACACTTTTACTTTTGTATTTGGAGGATATATGTGAATTTGACCTAGGTTTGAAATAATTTAGATAAAAAGTTTCCATATATTGTTCACATGTATTCTTTAAACGATACATATAAATACATAAAAGCTAAAATTATTTACCTGTTTTCTTTTGGCATTGTGTGCGCGTAATAAAATGTATTTACACACAAAACGTTTATTGTTCAAAAAATAAGGTTACTTAACTTGACAACAATGACAACTACTGACAAGTGACAAGTGACAGTTCGGGACCGTCATAACAAGAATTTGGGATGCTTGCGTTTTCAGTGTACGATACACTAGAGCTGCTTTCGGGTATATCGATTAGAGCACTCTGGGGCGCTCCAGAGTACTCTGGGGCGCTCCAGCGCACTCCACTTGCACCCGAAAGCACCTTTAGAAGGCTCTGAAGTGCTCCAATCGCTGCACCCGAGAACCGCTCAGGACCAGGGGCTTGATTTTTGAAAACAGGAGAACTGATTCTCCAAAGAAAAAATTCACCAGACAAATTTCTCTTAAAAACTTAAATACTTATTTTTGAACGTTGAAGGAATCCAATTCTCTAGAGAATTTAATTTATGCCGTATGTCGAGGATATATTTGCAACTGACCAATCAGCGGGCAGAGTTTTCTTCAATATTTCAGTGCCATTATTGGCGACCCTGATGTTTAGTCACTTGATTTGATTTTGAAGTTTGTTTTGTAAATGTCATTATATTCGTCAGGGAGACTAGACATCTCCATGATATTCGTAGTAATTTAATATAACTTCAATTTGAATAGAAGTATATTTGAAAACACAAAAAATTTAATATTATTATAATTATGATGAAGCGTTCGTTCACGTCGAAAGCGCAAAAAAGAAATTAATATGCTTAGAAACAACGAAGAACTTTTTAAAATGAAAGTTTTCTTCTACTTTCACTCACAAAAAGGCCCAAAAACAGTGGTCAGATATTGCTGAAACTTTAAATGGTTTAATTAATGTTGTCGCGGATGGTTTACAATTTCTGCAGCTTGCAAATTATTCATTATATTTAGAATTAATAATAAATTATTTGGATCCATTACAAATTTCAAATGATTACGCACCTTCGAACAGCGAATGAATGAAGTGACTTTTCGCGCATGAGCATGAGATGACATTTGGATTCAAACTATTCGGAGAAAACGCCAATTCCCCCGACAAAACCCTGTGGAATTATTTCTCTTGATATCTAGAGAAAATATTCCACAAGAAAATTTCAAAAATCACATTATCTGCGTGTCAAGAGAAAATGACGTAATTTTCTCTAATGAACTAATTCTCCTGTTTTCAAAAATCAAGCCCCAGGACTAAGCCTGGATCCACGTGCATGCATGTCACGGATGTGAATGAATAAACTGAACTGATTAAACTGAAAGTGATTTTTATTCGCTTTAACACAAAAGAACAATATCGACATAAATATTGGTGTTGAAAGAAGTTAATAATGTTTGAGGCACAGTATACTAATCAAATTGAGGTTATAGTTTTATTTTCAATTTTCATGTAGGCGTTTTCTTATAGTGATTTCGACTGGGTTGGTCCCAGAGCGATTTAAGAGTGAAGGGAGTACCAGCTACTCTGCTCCCAATTAGTCGCACTCTTACACAGAGTAAACCTCAGCGGAACATATTTTTCTGCGAACATAACCTAAATTAGAAATTAAATTAATCATTTATATTACGAATGGGAGTAAAGAGTAACGTAATTTTTTTTCTGATTTATTGATATTTTGAAATGATGGAACAGTGGACTCCTGTGTTATTGGATAATGGTAAACATGCTATAAATGGTTGCAATATAGTGTTGCAGCATACAGAAAGTAAGTAGGTACGTAACAAATTTAAACAAGTGGTTTTAAATAATCTTAATTGTACAGCAAATGAAATTGGATATATAGAAAACACAATAGAAAACAGAGAAATGTTTGGAGTAATTGAACCAGAAGAAATTGGTCATTTCAATGTAGCTGAAACATCTGAGGACGGAGTATCAAAAGAGATTTGCAAAATTGAATGGGGAGACGAAACCAAACTATTATTAGATTTGAATTATGAATATCTACCTCAAGTGGGTCCTATGAAGAAATTTAAATCGAAGAAAAAAATGTGGGAACAAATATCAGAAGACATTCAAAATAAATTAAAACTGATTCGAACAGCTTTACAATGTGAAACTAGATTCAAAACGATTAAAAGGCGAAAGAATTGTTTCGAAACAAACAACAGACAGTCTGGGAATAATCCTATTAATATTCCTTATGAAGATGAATTTAATAAAATAAAAAGCATCGACGATAGTATAGAACCAGAAATATTGGTAGATGTCACACATAAGGTTGTAAATACAAAAGAACCGTTATCACGGAATGAGATCTCAACATTTAAAAAAGAAACGATGGAAAAATCTAAAGCTGTTGAAAGCGGATCTAAAAGAAAAAGTGATAAAATCACAGAGACTCTAATTAACATACATCATGAGAAAGAAGCTGCCAGAGAAAGAAGACATCGCGAAAAAATGGAGATGTTAGAAAAACTGATAAAAAAACAAAAAACTTGTAACTGCGACAAATAACTGTTTAGGCCTATCTACACTTTGAGGAAGTAATGCCTTTTTTGTTGTACTTGGTGTTATTTATTGAAAATAATGTTTTAAGTTTCAATTTGATTTATTTAAAAATATATTTATGTTTAATTAACAGATGTTGATTAATCTCTTAAGAAAGGTCATCTATTACATACTAATTTAATATATACAAACCTAAATCTAATAGATTGACCAAACTTAACTTAGCCTACCGACAGATAAAATAGAGACTGTAACAATAACTTGTGTGCATTCCGTGTGGTAATTTTACTTTTGACTAGTAGTATTATAGAATTTGCAATTTCACAACCTTGTGCACTTAATACTTTACGTTTAACAGGTGATTGAAATGTCATAATTGAAACATTTTTTCTTAGACTGTACAGAGTGTGCACTACACAAAGACACAAAGTTCAGCGAGAGAACGAGCTCCACCTCGAACATTGGTTCCATTACGCATCTAGATATTGCCGCTAAGATAAAATTGATCAACCTGTAGCTAACCAAAAAAGGTAAAAAAAAATCAATTGACATAAAAAAGACCATGTGCCAGTTGATCTCTTTTCATTTCCCCTAATCTTTTCAATAATCTGTCTCTCTTTCATAAACTGGGGGATTATAATCTCTTTCTACATGGTCTTCCATAACATCTTCCAAAAAGTCTTCATGTTCAATACATAAATTGTGCAATATACAACATGCAATAATAAATTCCGATGCTTTCTCTACCTTCCTGAAGTCCAATTCCATTAACTGACGAAAACGTACTTTAAGAAGACCAAACGCATTTTCTATTTTAACTCTAGTTTGACTAAATCGTTTATTAAATTCCTGGTTAACTGGATTTAGTTGACCATAATTTCTATAAGGTGTCAGTAAGTTGGGAGATATAGGGTATGCTGCATCACCCAGAATATGATGTTTTTCTTCCAAATTGTTAATTTTATTTTTTATAAATGACATCTCATATACTCGAGCGTCATGTATTTTTCCTGATACTCCAGTAAATACATCCAAGAATTTCCGTTCACTGTCACAAATACCTTGTAAAGTTAAAGCAGTAACATCATGTCGATTAACGTATGTTGATTTAACTTTGTGAGCTGGTGTTTTTAAATGTATGTATGTCCCATCAATACACCCAAGAACATTTGGAAAACCAGAAATCTAACGATCAAGAATTTATTTAGAAATTATAAAAGCAAATCTTAACATTGTAAACAATGACTTACTTGAAAGAATTTATTACTTATAGCTTCTTTATCATGGTCACTTTCAGGAAAAAATATAATTTGTGGGCCTAAATTTAATAGGAATTTTGTTATTCTATTAATTATACTAAACATAGTTGACACACTGGTATTAAATAATAATGCAACTACTCTCAGTACTGTTTTATTGCCTGCAAACCTACATTATTTTATTAAAATTTAATTTAACAAAAATATTCAAACCTTTACCATAAGAAAGCTGCAATATGAACCTTCGCTGATTTCAATGCTGTTCCACCATGACTGTTAAGTTGCATATAGAGCATCGAATTTTCAAATTTGCTTACAAGAAGATTAAACGTATTTCTAGTTGAGATTTTTTTTGAACTAAAATTTTTAAAATGGATTACAAGAAAATACAATACAATATTTTAAACTAACATCAATGTCACTATATTGTTCTAAAACGTCTTCCACAAAGTTTGTTAATTTTGGTATTGAATTGTCTTTAGTATCATGCCAATAATGTTGAATAAAATTATCAATTTCATCATCGCTATCACTTGAACTTGATAACAAGATATCTAATATTGCTTCATTATTACTCATGTTTTTTTTTTATTTAACTAAAGTGATCAAAACATAATTTGTGATAAAAACTTAACCTTAAAGTATAAACTTTTAAATTAAAAAAATATAGGTTATGTTTATATTCCCCCCACTTCTATAGTGCTCCTAGTAGCTGCTCCTGCAAAATATAAGGAGCACAAAAGAGCAACCTGAGATTGCTCTAGAAAAAATTTTTATGTCAGCCGAACACGATAATCCATTTTAGAGTTACATAGAGCAACCCAGTCGAACATGAAATTTGTGATAAGATCGGTCAAAGAGTGCTCGAGAGCACTCTAGAGCAGTCGGCCGAAAACGGTATAATAAATAAAGGGGACGCCTTTATTTACATTCGATAGTGAAATGTTGACATATGTGTATTTACAAACATTGGTACTTTGTGATGTCCTTGACATTGATGCCAATGTTACATTTTTATCTTTATAGCTAGGTACAGCGGTCATTTTGATTATCGTACAAGGATTTACCTCATTCTTGACCTCGACTTACAAATTAGTTACATTGTAATATGCATAAGACTACGACACTATTTTCTTGCAACTTGTTTTATAATTATAGATTTTGAATATCTGAAAAAAAATACATTATTGAAATTCCTAGCAATACAAACGCCGTAAGTGGCATCATTGCCTGGTATTAAACGATTCTAAAGGGGACGCCATTATTACAGTCTATTGTTGTGAAATAGATATTAGCCGAGTTCAGTGTTTTGTGTCTTTTTAAACTGTTTTTTTTATCTAATTTCAATAAAAATGCCAAAGCGGCGTATAATATGCCGACAATTACAGGAAAAGAGCCAAATATGTGCTACTTCTTTTCACAAGTAAGTTTGACATTGTTTCCATGGGCGTTCTTACAAGGGTGTAAGGTGTCCTAAGTATTTTATTTGTTAATTTATTATATTTGTATTTTGATACTGACACTAGCTCTGTGTTTATTTGTAGAATACCATAAGATCCTGGGATACGAGCAGTGTGGCTAGAAAATTTCGCCATATCTGATTATGATTTTTCAAAGGATAATTATGTCTGTCGAGGCATTTCCGTGCTACAGATATTAAGGTAACAGTAACTGGAAAACGATGTCTCACACATGGAGCTGTGCCTATTAATACAACATTTGGAAGGTAATACGTTTTAGCACAGTGTTGATGAAATGGTTGTGCCGTCTCAAAGGTTCCCTCTTCGAGAAATTGCCAGTGAAGGAAATTTTATAGATGTTGCTATAAAACATCTTCAATCACATGTTGTCCCCGTTCCATAAGAGACGAGCTGTCAATGTTATGAGCTCAAAATTCAGCTTATTTTTGTTGCGTACATTTAAAACATGCTTATTTTCCCACACGATTAAATGTTGTTCAATGTAAATTCATTTTTCCGTTACTTTTAGTACAAATATGTTTTGCTTTCTTTGCATTGTTTATATTCCAGCAGATTTTAATTAAATATATTTTTGCTCCTTTTCTTGTAGTTTTATATAAATTATTTATTTTAATAAATGTTCTTCCAGTAATCGAGAACTATGAAATAATAGAATTAATAGTAGGCAATGACATTGCTATAGCTATAGTATAATGATAGTTTCAATCGAGGAGTTTTCTTTAGTCACTCTTTTGTTCTGGAAATGTTTTTAAAATATTAATTATAGATTTTGAAGAAACCATTAACTTTTTCCTATTTATTGTCTATTTATTACACATGAAAGCTTCGAGCACTTCTGATTTTATTCTATTAAAAAGTATAATTTTTATGGTTTCCTTATATTATGATAGATTTTAAACCTAAACTCGGTACGCCACTGTACCAGGGACCATTGTGTTTACTTATGTATCATTTGTTTATCAACATACAATAGGTTGAGGTTACATGTTTACATTGTGTACTGAAATAGGGAATGCGGCCTCCCCTTTACTTATTACTCTGAGATTTTGACCACATTTTGACTTCACCTTTCGAGGTTAGCAACGTGAGAAAGAAATATATGAATAATTAATTTGTCGTGCCATCTGTGAGCTAGTCCCAACACAACTCTACCTAATCTAAATCTATGCCCAACACTTTATGTTTCAAATAATTTTAATGAGGACGCTGTAAATAAGGATAACTTGCTGCGCCATCTATGCTTTAAGAGTTAAATTAATAATAGTGAATGAGTAGTTCTTTCAGTTGTCTACCTACTAATGAATTCGTTTGTAGTTCAGTGCACTTTCTAAGAGATAGATGGCAGTACATGACAATTTATTACCTTTTAATGCGGTTTGATTGATCAATCAACACAAGTGAGCATTCCATTTCACTGATTGAAAAAGTGATAGGAATGATGTATTTCTAATAGCAAGAAAATTGTCAAAATATTAAAGATTCTTTCTAAAGGCGGTACCGGACACAACTGGAGTTCTATTACATATTTTGTGACTGGATGGTCGGTTATTTTACAAATGCAAATGCTTCTTATAAAGAAAAAATCGAAAATTTCAAAATCTGGAAGAGTTGGAGAGCAACTGACTGCAGTTTTGAATTCATCAAGATTTTTCTGAATCCCAGAACTATTCGAAAAAAATCTAGGAATGTGTCTCGAATATGCCAGCAGTATGTCATGAAATCAAACTGTTTAGTTGAAAATTGAAGGAAATTAACAAAAATTTGAAATTTATACAATAAAAGGCTTTAAATTTTCTCTACTTTTTCTTGTAACGTAATAATGTAATATCGAGGGGGCATAAGGTTATGTACTATTAGTTGTTTGCCAAAAATATTTCATTTGTCATTCAAACTAATTGGTTTTTCATTCTGTGAAGTGGAATACATGTCCAGCATCCAATGAAATTGTATTTTGCAGTTTTTATTTTATCTAATGCACCATCTGTTATCTGAAAATCACAATAAACTGTCTGAAAGCCTCAAATGCATAGTTAACTATAATAGTTTTCATCTGGCAAAAATTATTTAAATTATTGATATATAGGGGGTGCTTATCAATTGTATAGAATTAATTAAGCTCTTAACAAGTAGATGGCGCCTGATATTAATATAATAAAGTAACTNAGCGCATCCCAGGCTGCATAGCCGCATTACTCTACCCAACCCAACCATACCACACATAAACATGACACCACCCCCGGGGTTTACACAGACGAGCCGGCGAAGCAAGAACAGCGCTCAGAAGAAAGGACCCTAGCCGGCAGGGCCCAGCCAGGGCAAAAGGAGGTCCCACAAAGCGCCTACACCGGCCGCATTTGCGGTCGGGGTAGACGACCGATGGGGCTCACCTACGAAGGCTGTCCAGGCCTACACGAGATGAGGCAGGATAAAGAGGGATAATCCCCCTCGATCTCAAATCATTGAGGCCAATTTCTAGCCATCGAATTTGCGCGTTTTTGAAGAGATGAGTCAACATAACGTATTATTAACAGTTTTCTGAGTCTAAATCCGACCTAAACACATAATTCCAGCCCAGGGGAACGACAGATGGCTCAGGCAGTCGTAACCTGACGTTTTTAATTTTCAATAATTTATAAAGCATCTTTTTAGTTGTTTTCATAATGGGACAATCAGGGGCGGATCCAGAGATGAATATTTTTGGGGGGGATAGTTATGTTATCAGGAAAACTGAGACATAAAATTTAAAAATTTTAATCTTCATTCATTCATTCATTTTAATATAAAAAAAATAGGTATGCAGGCAAGAATGGCGTTTTTAAACAGAAACATTTATATCTTTATTAATTTATTCTGTTTGATTTTTGATTTTTTTTTTTTCGAACCATATGGGGGGAGCGTTCGCCCCCATCGCTCTCCCTTGGATCCGCGCCTGGGATTAATTGCATTAATAAACCGTGGTACTGCAAGGTTGATGGCCATTGCATTGTTCAAATTATAACACACAATAGCCGCCATTTTGATCCACCAATCCAAACTATAGCGTTATTTTTGATTTTATGTCATTATTTTACTTTTTTCCAGAAAGTGATTTTGAGTGTTTGTTGTCTCTGTTTAGTGTTATTCGGAATAAATATGGGTAATTATCTACAATGGCATAATGCATACAATTTTGCCCAGCTTATTTTGCGAACATCGCAGAACATCATCTAATTTGAAATGCAAATAAACTGGAATACTAAAATAATTTATTTTTTGGAGCTTTAAGGGGAAGGGGGATGCTGGATATCAACTGATTTCAAAATAAAATTTTTGAAAAAAGGGAGAATTAATATTAATATTGGTAACATTAAGATTTAGGGATTTTTATTTTTCGGTGTAATGTTAGTTGGCTAACCTCGGTGGTCAGGTGTTTTGTAAACATCTATAAAGGCTCTATGCTCTATGTAAAGATCGATGTTAGTCTGTGTGTCATATACCTATAAACTCGATCGATTGAGCTCAAAGTTATAAGTTACATTCGACACATTACTAGGAAGGTGTAGAAGTTTGAGCAATATTCAATAGGTGGCACTGTATACCATTCAATATTGACAATCGATTGAAACTCTGCGCGGTTACAAACTTCGCCAGCAGATAAAACACTTACAATTAATAGGGGTACTTCATATAAAATTGTTGCCTAAAGTGCTTCCTTGGTGAGATACAGTGTGTGGAAAAAATAAATAACATTTTCTTTAATATCTTTCGACTACTTTGAGCTAATTTCGTGATTTCGTATTTTTGAGATGAGAAATTCGAATNTACATTTCAAACTTATTTAGGCAACCAGTTATACAGACCACGGTGTAACTGGTGGCATATACAATGTGTAAGTCAGATTCCTAAAACATATTTAACAAATATATTATATATTGATGATTTATCAGTTACTCACAGAAATATTGCTATTTTCCGACAGAAATTAAACAAGCATATTATAAAAAAAGTTTTATTTACAGTTAATAATAAATTGTAAGATATTAATCCCAATACTTGATTAAGCCGTCCCATCCAGCTGTAATAAGTTTACTGGGTTCGTGCGGATGCCACAAAACGCTGATACAAACATTATCGTGGGCCTTCCACTTCTTGTACAGTTTAGTGGTTTTCCAGTCCCAAATGTAACACTTTCCGTCAGCATCTCCCGACACAAGATAACTCATATCGGGGGAGAAATCCAAAGTACAGGCATATCCGGCCACCATGTGTCCGGAGAAGGTCTTCTTGCGGTTTATTTTGAACCTGTTCATGGCGGAGAATATCACGATCTTGTTGTCCATGCTCTGGCAGGCCAACCACTTGCCTAAAATAGGTAAATTTTGTTAAGGCCAACATCAAATTTGAAAAGATGACTACAGGTCAACAGGAATGAATATGCGGGAAAGTTGGATCCGAAGAATGGATACACAGTCGGGCAATTAAGTTTTTAAACTGATTTTATTGTAGCGAAGTGCGTGGTGCTACCTATTTCCGTTAGGATATAATCTATAAATACAACACTTACCGTTTGGTGCCGGGGTGACGGCCGGCATACTGTGCATCGTTGGGTCCGCTATGTACTTCATGTCCACCGGAATGTCCCATTCCCACACCCTCAAGGATTTATCATCTGAAGTTGTGACGAATCTTCTGTTCTCGTCCACAAAGGTGATCGAGTTCACTGCACCCAAATGCCTGTCGTACTCCTGAACGATATCACCGGATCTGGTGTCCCAGCAGATAATTTTCTTATCGGAAGTGCCGGCCACGAACAAGTGCTGCTTGTTGCTGTCCGGGTTGAATTTAACGCAGTAGGGAATCTTCCTGCTGGTGAAACGGGAGAGAACTTGACCCGTTTCGGTGTCCCATAACTTTATATACCTATACGGAAAAAAAATTGCATTACCATTTATTTTTATAGTGTAAGTTAGAGAAACACAACATTCCCTATATCATCTCAAACTATTAATTAATAAAAATTTTGTTTGGGAAATATTCTCATTGTAAAACCATCTACATACCTATCATATCCAGCCGAAAGGAAACGGTGGCCAGAATTATTAAAATTGATGTCCCTAACCGCCTGCCGATGACCGTAGTAAGTCCTGATGCACCTCCTTTCGTTGTACACTTCCCATAACTTGATGCGACAGTCCATACTGGCAGATAGAAATAAGTGTGCGGTTCTTGGAAACCATCGGATGGCAGCGATGCCTTTCGAATGTCCTGACCATGTGTGGATGTGAGATTTTGGCAGGAAACATTTCTCTGGAGGGGAATCGGATTTGAGGTTAACCCCAACGTCTTGAGGCGCATGCAGGAATGAACGGCCTTGGTAATCGATCGCATCTTTGATGTGAAGCACAGATTTCTCTTCAACAGGTTTGTCTTCAATTGGTTTACCTAAAAAAAATCACAATTCAGTACTCAAGCATATAAATATATTTTCTATTTAAGTGTAAAAGAACTCACCTCGTTTATTTTTCTTCGAAATAAGCTCATCCAGTTCCGCCTGCTCCTCTTCCGAGGGTTTGGCAACCTTCTGCTCATCGATATATCCACCCCAAGGCCCCAAGAACCCATCAATATCAGTAGGGTCACTGTTCTTCTTCCTTTTTCTCTTATCCAAAGGTCTTGTTTTGGTTACTTCAAATACAGTCGTTACACCTTCTGGATCTTTTCCTTCTTCTGTTGACCCCACCACTTTTATTTGTCCATCTATACTAATCGAGGGGTCTAAAGCGTAACCGAAACTGGCAAAAGTCCTTCTCTGATTCTCGAATTGGAATTCACTCACATGGGCCGGTTCGATATGACCAGATAACATGTTCCTGTCACTTTGCTGTTGTTGCGTTTTAAAAGGATTTTCAGGGCCTACGACTGGAGCAAACAATTCGTCAAACTTGGGATTATAAGTTAACTCCTTTGTATCAGGGTGTATATGAATTTTGTCTTCTTCCAAACCTGTAGGAAGAACTGTAGGTGCGGCGCATATTGTCAGTTGATTCTTTAGTGAAAATTGGGAATCACTTTCAGAAATTGGTTTCAAAATTTCAACTTTGGTCTGACTACCGTCCTCCTCATTTTTATCGTCACTTTCTTCGTCACTACTGCTTGCATACTGTTGTAAAGCCAACATACTTTGATTCTCTTAACAATATTTTCTCGGTAACAAATATTTTGTTAAACTTAACCTATAATAATTTGACGTTGACGTGTTTTGCTGTGCATTTTGTTCTATGTTCTATGGTTTTCTATGCTGTGTGTTTTATGTTTAAATATGCCTAGAATGTAGTGAATGTAGTTACTAAAAATAAATTAAACGTCTGTTGTATTATAGGACAATAACAGCGTACAATACATATATCATGAAACTATAAACTATCGCCACAGCTTATATGCTGTGCTATCGACATCTTTTTTTTTATCGTGATACGATTTCGTCCCGTACCGTTAAGTGCCGTAAGTGATCGTGAAATGATCCTGTTTCCTGTTTTCCTGGGGCTTGATTTTTGAAAACAGGAGAATTAGTTCATTAGAGAAAATTACGTCATTTTCTCTTGACACGCAGATAATGTGATTTTTGAAATTTTCTTGTGGAATATTTTCTCTAGATATCAAGAGAAATAATTCCACAGGGTTTTGTCGGGGGAATTGGCGTTTTCTCCGAATAGTTTGAATCCAAATGTCATCTCATGCTCATGCGCGAATAGTCACTTCATTCATTCGCTGTTCGAAGGTGCGTAATCATTTGAAATTTGTAATGGATCCAAATAATTTATTATTAATTCTAAATATAATGAATAATTTGCAAGCTGCAGAAATTGTAAACCATCCGCGACAACATTAATTAAACCATTTAAAGTTTCAGCAATATCTGATCACTGTTTTTGGGCCTTTTTGTGAGTGAAAGTAGAAGAAAACTTTCATTTTAAAAAGTTCTTCGTTGTTTCTAAGCATATTAATTTCTTTTTTGCGCTTTCGACGTGAACGAACGCTTCATCATAATTATAATAATATTAAATTTTTTGTGTTTTCAAATATACTTCTATTCAAATTGAAGTTATATTAAATTACTACGAATATCATGGAGATGTCTAGTCTCCCTGACGAATATAATGACATTTACAAAACAAACTTCAAAATCAAATCAAGTGACTAAACATCAGGGTCGCCAATAATGGCACTGAAATATTGAAGAAAACTCTGCCCGCTGATTGGTCAGTTGCAAATATATCCTCGATATACGGCATAAATTAAATTCTCTAGAGAATTGGATTCCTTCAACGTTCAAAAATAAGTGTTTAAGTTTTTAAGAGAAATTTGTCAGGTGAATTTTTTCTCTGGAGAATCAGTTCTCCTGTTTTCAAAAATCAAGCCCCTGTTGTCGTTCTTGTGAAATTAATCATCATAGATCTCCATAGAATAGATTCATTTCAGTGTTAGTACAACTTTTTCTTGTGAATTATAGATGGCGCTCACTGAAAGGAAGTTTAAAAGAATTAAATTAAAATAGTAATTATTTATTAACTAATTACCAATATCAATTAGTCAACAAAATTATTATTTTACAACGATAACTCATATTGATTTCATAAATCGTGGAAGAGTAGACTGAACAATTAAAGTAAATACAATTAAAAGTTCAATGACTACTTTAAATTGTTTAATTTTTATATAACTTCTTGTTTGCACTGAAAATTGTATTATTTTTGTAGCTGCGTAGTTATAGATTAATGTGATAAATGTATGTAGGCAATAAATACTAACAAACCGTAAAAGGAAAACGTACATTAGGTGCTTTTTCCTATAAATGTATTGCTTCAGTGTTTAAATAAAAAATATACTAGTGTTTTATTACTTTTGTTAGTTAAATGAACTAAGTATATGAAACGGCGACACTCCCTTTATTCGACGACCTTCACGTACCATACCACTAAGAAACGAACTGGTTTATCGATATCACAATCGTTTCGTCAATGAATTAACATACAAAAAAATATATCCGTAAAACCGCTCTTAGGCAGAGTTTACACGATCCAAAGCAGTCGTGATCCAAGTTGTAAAAAATAATAAATCTAGCTGCAAGTTTAGCAAAAAGATGAAGATCAATTAAACAGGATGTGGTTTTGGGGAGCTTGTATATGGAAGCTTTAAGAGCTTGTGTATGGGAGCTATAAGAGCTTGAGAATGCCATTAGGGTTGTATGTGTGTGCTACGTAAACAATGGGAGCTGTAAGTTCGTGAAATTTTTTGGAGAAATTTAACACACTTTTGATTTTTAAAAAAGAATATAATTTATTGCAAATTTAGGATTAATTAACAATAAATGCCGGTAACATTGCATATAAGACAAAAGGTTAAAATAACTTGGAGCGTACAACATGTATTGGCCAGGATCTGATACTGGTTATTGAACTGCATGATCCCTAGGTTGACGCTCGAACGCACACTACGTTGGCAATGCAGGGACTCCTATAGCAAGGTCAGGGTCGAAGAACTGGTATTTTGGAATAACGTCCTCTTGTGGATTGCAGACGTCTTCAAAGGGTTGTGGTGCAGAAACTTATTTTGGTTAATTGTGACTCTAAGGCCGTGTTGAAATTCAAGTTTTGAAATTTGGCCAAAATTCGAAAGAGTGGTAAAGATTTTCGCGTCTTCCTGCACTGTTGGCGGTTTATGGGCAATGAAGAATATGTGTGGTCAACATCAGCTTTTGGTGGCAATCATGGCTTGGTAGTGGAACTGCGGCAAATCTTCGAAACATGCGCAAAAAATTTTTTTGCGGTCAGTGGCGGTTTCGCGCTTTATTGCCTGCGCTGTCAGCATCGTCTGGCAAGGCTAATGATTTTTATAGAGGCAATCGAGGCTTCGTGAGCAATTCAGTGAAATTTTCAAAACTGTGGTGAAAATGTATTTTCTCGCATACGCCTTCCGATCTGCGTAGGAGACGTCTGCAGTTGTTTGTCTATGGTTCCGTAGATTTGGCGAGAACTGCACCTATATAGCTTTGTGCAAGGTTATCGAATTCTTTTCGAAACATGGGTGAATTTCGAACTTAGTAATTAGCTGCCAACCCTGAACAAGCCGATTCTATGATCAAAACTAAGTAAAAAAGTTCATATGAACATGGGTCCGGAAATGCTTCCTAAGGGCACAGGGACCCATTGAAGAGGGAGGAATGGAAATAATTTTTTTGCAATATCTCTCAATCGCGTTGTGATAAATGAATGAAATTTGGTATACACAGCTAAATTTTGATGAGCAATTTGATGGACTAATCCATTTATTTCCACAAGGTCCATTGGGGTGGGTACGGGGGGGCCCTTGGTACTTTGCGTGTGTAACTTTTTCATCTTTGACTTTTTAACAAATTGGACAGCAAATTCCGTTTTCCCGAACTGTTTTACGTTAAAAAGGTACTCTTGTTTCAAATCGTTATCTTTAACGGTTTCTGAGAAAATCGCTCTTGAATTAATCCCACTTTGGTCAATTTCATAGTAATTTAAACAAAAAATAATAATAATAATTTTCCTTTCCTCTCTTTTCCATTTAAAGGATTAATTTTTATTTAATTTAATTTTTTATTATTATTTTTTTATTAAAACTAGATTAAATTGAAACAAAATATTTTTTTTTGTTTAAATTACTATGAAATTGACCAAAGTGGGATTAATTCAAGAGCGATTTTCTCAGAAACCGTTAAAGATAACGATTTGAAACAAGAGTACCTTTTTAACGTAAAACAGTTCGGGAAAACGGAATTTGCTGTCCAATTTGTTAAAAAGTCAAAGATGAAAAAGTTACACACGCAAAGTACCAAGGGCCCCCCCGTACCCACCCCAATGGACCTTGTGGAAATAAATGGATTAGTCCATCAAATTGCTCATCAAAATTTAGCTGTGTATACCAAATTTCATTCATTTATCACAACGCGATTGAGAGATATTGCAAAAAAATGATTTCCATTCCTCCCTCTTCAATGGGTCCCTGTGCCCTTAGGAAGCATTTCCGGACCCATGTTCATATGAACTTTTTTACTTAGTTTTGATCATAGAATCGGCCTGTTCAGGGTTGGCAGCTAATGATGAGACACCCTGTATAATAGGTACATATTTTATTTCAGTTTTGATGTTTATTAGTGATGCAATGTTTATTGAAGAATTCGGATAAACTTTTACAAAACAACTACACATTCTTAAATATACTATAATCACTTATGAAAATAATGGAATGTAGTTTATATCCAATATAAAATACAGCAATACTCTTCACCACTCTTTTAGTAAATAATAAACCAATTAATAAACGATTAGTAGGTATGTTTAAGAATGTGCTTTATATTTATTTGAATTCTTCTGGAAGGATTTTTAAAATATCTTTTCTAAAATTAACACGAAATGTTTCCCTTCCATTGTCCAGTTCCGAGGAGAAATTGAGGAACCGCCAAGATTCGAACTGAATCGACAAAATCTCGGACGTCGGCCTACATCCGTATCCAATATTCCGAATACGCTTTACATAAGTTTATGTAATTATTTTGCTTTGTGCTATTAGCGGCAGCATTTATAAATAACTGCCTACTAATGCCGATACATTCCATAAACAACTTTCACATTTTAGTCTGGAAACGACACAATGTACCTTATCTCGGCAAATTCGCACGGTACGTGCATGCGAGAGGCCTTCGCTCGAAACCGCATAGCGGAGGTGAAACACAGGGCGTTACTTATGTCCCGAACGCTGTGATATCGCCCCCAATATAGACTTGATAACTATAAAAAAAGTTATCTAGAAATCTCCAGTGAAAAGGACTTACTGTATAAACTGCATTGATCAGTACCTATCTGAAATCTTGGATAGAGAAAGGTCAGGTTGACATCATAAAGGACCTTCATAAATGTTTACAAGCCACGCGACCGCCGAGCTTAGGCAACCAACATTGCAGGGCTGGTTTTAAATTAATGATTGTGACACCAATAAAACTAAAACAATTATTCATTTATGTACATATACATTCAATTTAAATATTACGTAATAATAAAATGTATCGGTAACGTGTACTTAAAAAAGATGCACTATTAAACATAGCTGAATTACTGAAATTATACAAAAAAACAACTTGCTCTTGAAGTGGACGTTACCCGATGTCAAAATGTTGTCTCACAAGAATTTTAAACACTGTCCGCTGGCGTGGTGGGTATACGTTGTTTTGATTTTTCTTTTCTGATAAAGTGGTTTCATAAAT